AAATCCGGATTTTTGAGATTCACAATCTGAGCGTTTTTTTGGGAAAGGATTTGAAAAATTATTTTTGACAAGCGGTTTTTCGAAAAAAAAAATGGTCTTAAGTCTCTTAACCTATGTTGGTGGCGCCTTATTAAGTTTGAGCCATATCATTCCATGTTTGTCATCTATTCAAATTATTTGTCGACTGTTTGTAAACCCTTACTTGTCATGCTTTTTTGTACGTATGTAGTGTCTGCTTACGCCGGTTTATTTCCCAGGTGAATTAAAAGAAACAATTCATCGGCTTCAGTTTTGAATAATTCTTATAATGTCACTATCCTTAGGAGTGTATTCTATTCGAGAAACGTTTGTGTTTCAAACCGAAATATATACATTTCGTATATTCATTCCTAGTTATGTTGCTTTTTATTCTTGTCTTCGCCCTGAGGATCAGTTTGTTGTTGCTGTTTTTTTTTTCCTCACGAGGAGCACGAGGACATGCTGTTGTCATAGTAAATGATCCTTTTTCGGATCTTCCGTTTTTTGGTAGTGAAGAATCCGCATGATCTGAGATCACAAATCCGTTTTTGGATTCTCCCCAAAAAACGCAAGGCAGCCAATCTGTTTTCGCTGGAGGTGTTCTGTCCAGTCCTCTCTCCCGCGAAGACCCTGCGGACAAGGTTGGACATTTTATGTGTACATACATAGAAACATTGCTAAGGGGATGATGGCGGTGTCGGTCTGATTTCGATTTTAAGTTAGTATCATCTAAAATCTCCTTTCTCCTGGGCTAGCCCGTTAGGAAGGCCTGATACTCATGCTACAGTCTGATTTGAGCGGTGTTGATTTTAGGAGTCAGATTAGAGGAGATATTACTGGAAGAACATCAAAAGTTAGAAACTAACAGCTGAACGTCGAGCCGTACAGCTACAGCAGGGTAAGGATTCTTGTCTTTGTCTGTTTTTGTACCTTTAAGTATCCTCTTTAACTAAAGATTATGCAGCAATATTGAATTTAATAAGCAATGTTCTCAAGTTTAGCTGAGCTTAAAATGCGGCTTGAACATATAAAGAAGTTCAAGAAAAATTATTTCCACCTAAAATATTAGTGAACTCCTCTTTATTGTGGAGCATCCCACGTATGGTGCCTAGTGCGCTTTTGGATGCTTCCCTCTCCTCCTACACTTATTTTTTCAGTGTATATGTTTACACTTTTACTTACTTTATTGGAGAAGACCGTAATAAAAAAAAATAAATAAAAACTGTAACGTTAACCAGCTTAACCAAGATGAAAAGCGTTGATGTTTTTGACGAGAAAATCATACGATCAACCCACTTCCGGCTTTGAACACTGATTGAAGTGGCATCAAGTCTTACACAGTAAGCTTATGAATTTTAAAATAATAAACAAACTTTCTGATTCTTCAGTAGTAATTAATGGCCGCTAAGGCATTCTGATGTAATTGTAAGTCAGAATAATGCAACATTACACACTGATTCTTTGCCAACTAACACAATTCCCAGCCACATCCCCAACAACCCCCACTCCTCCCCCTTCCTGCTCTCCCTGCACTGAAACGATTCACCCACTACATTTGATGGCTCAGTAAAATACTATAGGACTTCTGTGAGTTTCAAAATATAAATTGTTACTTTCAAAACAAGGCTAAGTGAAAAAAAGTGTTAGTGAATAACCCCCCCACCCCCCCAAAAATTGTGTTTCAGTGGCTTCAAGACTTAGCCTGGCTGTAAAACAGAGACTAATGGAGCAACTTTGAAATTATCCATTTCATGTTTGCCCAATTTTTTGCAAGTTTCACAAGAATTGCAGGTTTTGTTGAGGCCTTCTCAAGCTCCTCTTTCACTGCTTTACACTCTTCGGCGCAGAATTTCTGAATTTTTTTGAAATTTTCCAATTTTTTTCTAATTTGCAGTTTTCACAAAAATCACAGGTTTAGTGGAGGTCTTTCTTACCTCCCCGTTTACTGCTTTTCACTAATGCAGTGAATTTTCATTTTTTTTGTAATTTTTGCAACTGCATGCAAACCTGGACATATGTCTGTATTCTTGTTGTTTATACCCCAATAAATCAAAAACCCAAAAAAGTAGGCAATAAGTTAGGCAAGTTTACCCTTTTTTATTATTATTGTGTTTTACTATTCATTGGCAAGGCAGTGTCTATGGAGTCTACCTTGTGAAGTGCTCTTCAAATGCTTACCTCAAAATGCCAGGCCTGTGAGTCCAACGGGACCCTTATTTTGTTTAAGGTATCTGCACCGGCAAATTTTCAACATTTTATTTTGCCCTCAAAATCCTTCTACAGTAAGTTCAGATGATGTAATATGATATCTGGTGTTCTTTTTTGATTATACCTTCGCATTCAAGAGAAAATCTACTCAAAAGTTGACAGATTTACAGGAAGTTAAAGAAAAATTTGACTTCTCTTTTCGGCATCAAGTTCTATTGATGTGCTGAACAAAATCTATTCACTGCTTGGATTCATTGACAAACTGCCGCTGCTGTATGTCCAACTGGATTTTTCTTGCTTCTGTTAAAGCTGTGATGACTAGTATTACTTGCTTCTTGTCAATATTTGTTATGTTCTTGAAATATACTCCATTTTCCAGGGCTTATTATTGTTTTAAATTTACATTACATCAGTCTGTCTTCTCACCTGATATATTCTGACAATTTTGACGGGAGAGTAAAATGTTTTCTTGGCCCCTAATCCTCTGGTTTGTTTTTTCTGCCAATTTCTTTCACTTTACAGAAGCAATTCTGTTCAATTTTGAATAAAACTCTCCTTCAATCTTCATACTTCGGCGCGCTTCACTGCATTATAGCTGACACTGAGTAACACATCTTCCGGAACTGCGTCACACCTAGCAACTGGTCACGTATCAAAATCCAAGGGGGCTATAGCAGGTGGGGATCCACACCGGTTTCCACCGTTTTACGGAAATCGGTCAGATTCTCCATAATAAATAATCTTTGATAAAAAAAATCTTTCCCAGTTGAAATCTACAGATTGACAGGACTCGCATTGTTCCATGTCCACTACAACATGGAAACTGATCTTGATGAAATAATCCCCCGGTGTGCAAGGCTACCGTATCCAAGGGGAATGGAACTAACCAATATCCTGTCGGAATGACTCAGAAACCCAGGAAAGAAGACTTTTGGGAGTTAAAATCCAAACAAATTCCAGGGGAAGCATCATTCTGTGTTTGACCAAAGGTTAGAATTGCTGTACAGCTGAGTTATTGATGTCAAAGTGTGGATCAAATTACAAAATAGCAAATTGTACCCTAGAGGGTGGATTAATTGGAGCTGTGTCATGGTCAAACACAGAATTATTCTATCGTACCTCCTTATTTGTGTTACATTTTTTTTTTTAACAATAGCTCTAAGGATTCTTCTGAAATTTTGATTTTTCTCTTTCCGTGCCACCCTAGGGGGTAATTAAATCAACACCTTTCGGGTGACATAACATAGTTTATTTTGATATACTCTAGTTCCTCAAGAACTAAGGAATACTGTCAATGTAGTGACATATAGATAGTATCCATAAAATAACCACTAAAAATGATGCAAAAATGTGCAAAATTTGCCGGTGCAGATACCTTAAAAGGTGGCTACATAACCGCTATTCACTGGATTAACTACAGCGCTGACAGCTGTCTGAGAGGCACATTATTATTATCTGACAAGTGGGCAGTATGATTAATATGTTACTATAGCAAGGACTTATATTCCCCTTCTATTCATCAGTCATGGCTGCATCATCTGATAAGCCTGAGGTCATGAAGGCAACAAGGAGTCTGGACAATTCAGAGGTTCATTCTTTTTTTTATTTCTTGTTACAAAAAGTTATACTTTATTCATGAATATTATACTATGCTGTTGACATGTCAGCTAGCATTTGTTGACTGACATGGTTATCATGTTGACTAATATTAACCATTATTTCAAATGAGGCTTCATTTTGGTCAACTTGTTGACTTGACAGTCGGCCAATATGTTGACATAAGGGTGCTCTTAGTTCAGAAGATCGAAGAAATTTATGGTTATGCCTTGTTTGTGTGGTGAGTAACTTCAATTTACCTCTATGATCACATATGTATGCACCTAATTGAAGTATACGTGTTAAATTACACTTAAAAAAATGGAAGTGACAAATATATGCTAAAATTGTTCACTTCATAACTTGTAGCATGCCTGACCTTTGGATGTAAAAGGAATTTCTCATATTTTGAAACTCTAAAACAAAACTCTTAACTCTATAATATACTGATTGTAAGCTGTTAATTTATCAAGGCGCATGTCACTGTTTTAAGAATAATACTAAAATCTGAAAGAAATAACATTGATATGCCTAATTTATTCCTATTTAAATGAAAGTTTCTAGAAAATGTCTGAGGGTCTTTGGGTGGGGAGTGAAAAAAAAATTGGCTATTCTACCCCTACATGTACATTGTATCAACTTACATATAGTCGATGAAACAAATTTTTGTACAAATATTTGCTGTTACTTTGGTTTCTTTCATTTTTATTATAGTTTTAATTACTTTCTTATTAGTTTTGATTAGGTGACAAAGGATCAATGTGAAGAATTTGATTAAACAATTATCATAATTTTTATTGTAAACACTGAAGCAAATTGAGTGGCTGTGGTTCTTTAACAGAAGTACCAACAGTTTACAATATGTTCTTATTGTTATTTATTGTCATTGTTCTTTGTAGGCTTGCTATGGTGACCCCAGTGTTTCAGCGTTACATGTTACTCTTCTTGGTGGTGAGTGGGGGTCATCTGCTGGTGGGTTATCAACCATAAACAGAGAGCTTGCTATTCACCTTTCAAATCATTCAGCAGTGAAGATTTCTTTACTAGTCCCAGAGGGAGCTTGCAACACTGAAGAAATAAGAGAAGCAGATGGCTATGGAATCACTATTGTTGAGGCAAAAGAACGTGCAGCATATGATCGTCTTGATTGGTTGATCATCCCACCCCAGGACCACTACATGGACATTGTTGTTGGCCATGGTGTTAAACTTGGTCGGCAAGTACAATTCATCAGAGATTCTGCTCAATTTTCATATTGTAAGTGGGTACAAGTGGTTCACACTGCTCCAGAGGACCTGAGCAGTTTCAAATCCTACAGTGACCCCATTGCAATAGGTGAAACAAAACACGAATCAGAAGTTGGGCTTTGCAAACTTGCTGATCTTATTGTGCCTGTGGGACCCAGACTAAAAGAAGCATACTCTTCATATTTACAGCGATGCAAGACAGATCAAGACCTTTTGCCCATTACTCCAGGCCTTTTTGAAAGGGAGTTTGGGGATTTAGTGGCAAAACAAGACCCTAATGAGGATGGTGAATTTAAAGTGTTGTTATTTGGTCGTGGGGATGATGAGGACTTTGAACTCAAAGGATACAACATTGCTGCTCAAGCATTCACTGATCAACGGTTGAAAAACAAACCATATCGTCTAATCTTTGTTGGAGCACCTGAAGGAAAGCAAGAAGAAGTTAGAGAAAAACTTCTTCAGCGTGATATTATGGAAGCGCAGTTGACTGTTAGAAAATTTATACAAAGTAGAGAGAGACTGAAAGATTTGCTGTGCGAAGCTGACCTTGCCATAATGCCGTCAAAATCAGAGGGATTTGGTCTTGTTGCACTTGAGGCCTTGTCTGCGGGACTACCCATTCTTGTAGGCAGTAGGTCAGGATTTGCCAAAGCTTTAGAGAATATTCTTCATGGTAACGCATGTATCGTGAATTCAGATGATCCCACAGAATGGGCAAAAGCAATAGAAGCTGTTCGTTTAAGGCATGGAATGAGGCTTCAAGAGATTAAATCACTGAGAGCATCTTATGGAGAGATGTACAGTTGGAAGGAGCAATGTGAAGCCCTTGTGAACAGAATGCAGAGAATGGGTCACGGTAAGAGTTGTTTGTTAAGTGCTGAACAGATGTACTTGATTACACTGTATTCATGTTGTACTAGACATTAAACTAATATAGTTTTTGTAGCACAACATATGCAAAATGTAAGAGTGCAGTGCACTCACAAGCACTGAATAGATATTTTTCTTTGACCACATTGCTGAGTGTACACACAGGTTCTATGAGTTTTCTTTGCAAATTTAGTATATGTATGTACTGTCCCAGAATATTTTATCATTAAATATTGATTGCCAGATAAATATGGCCAAGACACACTGTATAAAATAATGTACCTCTTTACAATCCTTACCTAGTAGATTCAGTTATTTTCCTGAGAAATCATGCACCTTCAATTCTTCTACAGTGGGGGGGGGGGGGGGGGGGCATGTAGCCATACTTGAACTTCAGTGTTGTTATTTTTAAACTTTCACTGATGGGAAACATACAAAGACAGTCAGGTTTGTGTTGTGAGGTGACAAACATACAAATTAAATTGGCTACTTGAAATTTTGAGATGCATACTTTCTTTTATAATAATATAGCTCAAAGCTTGATAAAGTTGACTGTATAAATGTGTAGGATTATCCTCATTGAATTTATTATGAATTCCTATTGCTTCTTGGGCTTAAATGTTTTGCTCACACCTATGAACGTGGTATTGGAAGTTGTAAATGCATAAAAAGATCTGTGAATTATTGTGTAGAATAAGGGTCTCCACCACTTTGAGGGTCGCAGTTGTGTGGTCGTTAAAAATTTATTTTTAGTGTTACGTGGGATGTGGTTCCACATGAGTGGTTATGGGTGGTGGAGATGTGAATGGGTTACAAAGCATACAGTTGTATATACATACATTTTGTAAGAAGCTTATAATAAATGCTTGTTCTCACACCAGATGCTTCTGCTATACCAAAGGATGTTTCAGTCAATGAAAAGCAGCCTGTTGGAAAAACACATGCTTCAGCTTCTGGATTCTCAGGAGAGCAATGTCCAGTTGATGAGCCTAAAACTGAGGATGCAGCCAGATTAAGTGAAGAATCTCCCTCAATTTGCCATACTCCTAGCGTTTCAGGGCACACTTCTGACCAAGGTATAGAATAATTACATTACTTTTGTCTTTCTGCTATTCATCATTTTCAGAGAGACCACGCACTTTCTTAGCTTCCCAAAATTTTGCATAACCATTGTCTTCGATTTCTCATGGGACGAGTGTCACCCAGGAGAAATTGGGGGGTAAACAAGATGCATGCAAGAAGTATGTGAAAATGGTGAATAGCTTAAGAATGCTCTGTTTGTGTAAAAGCTTTTTTCAAACAAAAAGCTGAGGAGCCTCACTGAGTTTCCTTATACATTAGTAAATAGTTTACAGAAAACGGTTGTTGGTTGCCCCTGTAATATGCTTTTAATAAATAATTTTCAGAAGCAGCAAACACTATTAAGATGTCGATAACCCCACGTGATTTAAGTAGTGAACTGGAGGACCTCGCGGACGGATTGTTAAGACAACAACTTAAAGCGTACTTGGAACACAATAAAACAAACAAGCTTTCTACAGCCAGTGGACTGAGCAACTTCATTAAGCATGTAGAAAATACTTACAACTTAACTTTAACGTCTGTGGGTGTTGGATCTTTGGTAATAAAAGGTCAGTGTCCTGACCTGCAAAGTCTGGAAAGTCTGTGGAATGACTATTGTTCTGGTGTCCTGAATGACGCTGCAGAGAGGTTTTTGGTAACTGATGATATGAAGAAAGAAATCAACTTGGTGACACTCAGATTAAAGACTATCATTGATGAAGAAAGCTATTTGACTTGCAAGAAAGCTCTTATGGAAAAGTCAGGTGAGTTGGTGTTGCACAATTTCTTGGGCAATTATCTTTAGAGGTCTTAGGACAAGAAATTGATGTAAATCTCTGCTAGTGCTTTACAGCGATGTACGTTCAGGTATACATGAAAATGTATTAATAAAGCGGTCGTCTTAGAGACTTCAATCGAGATAATTGAACAATAGACCTTTTTACCGATACGGCGGCCATATTGAATTTTTATGCGATTTAAGGAGTATTATGGGATGCCCAGGGGGCATTTGCAAAATCCGTTGTACTCGCTAAGTATTTGAAATATGGTCTTTCGACACTAACGGCAGTACGAAAATTGAATTTTCAATATTTCAAAACAACCATGTATTCTTTGCCTCTACTTTTTTGTCAGTCCAGTTCAAACGAAAAAAGAGTGTTCTGTAAATTTCGTGTTTTAGACTATTCCGTATATTCCGTATTTTAGCAGAATGTTCCGTGTATTTTGTCATTCCGTTCCGTCAGTCCGCCATTCCGCCCAATAGGGTCACCCATCATTATTACATCCACACACGGCACAACAATCTTTTTCCCATTACAATCTTATTCAGAAAACTTTAAGAAAAAATGCCCTGAAAGGCGCTCGTAAAACCGATTATGTGCTCATGCCCCCCGTGCATCCCATAATACTCCGTAAATCTAACTTATTCAACATTGTATACAAGATTTTAAAAACACTTTAAAGCATAACTTAAGATTATACACTAATAAATCAACGCGGGATAAAAGTGAATTTGCCAAACTGCTCGGCCAATGGCATTTTGTGTAAAGGTTGGTTGCTTCTTGACAGCAGCTATCCAGGGTCAAAAGAGCCAGTGTTTTGAAATGATCATCGTCGTAAGGTGTTTCACTGCGAGGTGGATCTTTAACATGAGAGCAAAAGAGAATCTTCTGAACTTGAAATTACCCCCCTGAAACAGTTTGCACTAAATGAACAGGTAAATTAATGATAATGCATAAAATGTTAATCGAAATAAGATTAAGCAGTCATAAAAATGTTGAAATGTTTGTTTCAGTGAGTTAACTATATGACCACAGGAGAGATGGCTGTTAGTTGACGTTCATGCGTTCATGTTGCAGTAGTGCAGTAATTGTGCCAGGCTGTGAGTATTTTCTGTAATAGTACATTCACGACAGATGAATTTAATGCGTATTTTTGAAATTTTATTCTGTGTTAGCAATCAGCCGTAGCGTGTCACCTTCAACTAAATCAGATCAAGAAGCAGCTTCACCTCGAACTGACACAAGCCTAGATGATTCCGAGGTAGGTGCTTAGTACTTGGGACTAAAAATGAAAACAAGTAAAGACTGGAAAGAAAAAGAAATCGAGTCGTTGTAGAAGTACAGTCTACTCAATTCTGCAATAATAGCTCGGAAAAAAGTATAACAGTTTTCAAACCCAGTTCCGCCCATTAGACAACGTCGAAAAGAAAGACTGGTTTGGTTTTATTTGATTGGTTGGAATTGTATGGAAATATTATAATGACATGATTGAGGTATTTTGAAAAAAATAGCTCATATGGCAGTGGTTGAAGCATCTGTATAAATGGCAAATATCTCATTATCCACTCCCTTTGGGGCTTTTCAGGGATAATTTACAACACTGGTTGGGGGACTTTGCCAGACTGCTTAGGTGCAGCTTACAAGTAATGAAGGAATGAGTAATGATGCCCCGGCCCATACATGAGTGTCAAAGTGAGATAGACCACTACACTTGGCACTACGTGCAAAGTCCAACGTCTTCACTTGCAAACTGTGTTCATGATTTATTGTTATAATCCTGCTTACTGGATTACTGTGTGATAACTCGAATTCCCTCACGTACGAACCACGAAATGGGCAGAGTCCAACACTTTCACGTGCAAACTGTGTGACTGTATATCTCATGCAGACTGGCTTTTCACAATAACAACAGTAACTTAAATGTTTGAAGACCTCTTTAGTTTTGTAATTAGTGCCTTAATTAAACGCTGTTTTCTTAAGAAGCAATAACTTATAACACTTCTAGAATCAAGTCGTCGAGTAAAAGACTATTTCATTAAGTAGATTCGCACGTGACAACCTCGTGAATAATGATGATGCAACCATCTACAACAATGATGAAAACCTTGAAACCTTCGAGTCTTCCCTCTAACTAAAAAAACGTTTGGTGAGTTGATATTCAAAGTTCTGGAACAATTTATTTATTTTTGCAACAGATGTCTGAAAGAAAGACAAGGAAAATTGAATCTATAGTATTATGAGCGACTCAGCTGTGCGCAGCGGTTCGCGTTTTCATTAATGAACAGCAATACCCAACTTCGCGCAAAAAATAGTCTTAATGTAAGACTAAAACAGTAGACTGTTGATACGGTTAGACTGAAGCAATCAAAATAGCTCATGCACGTTAAACGTGCCTATGTTTTAAAGGAAAGTGGTCGGTAATTTTTCGTTGCATCTTCGTAGAAATTTCCAGCATTAGCTAAGTGATGTTTCTTAGATGAAGGTTTTTGAATACACTAAGTTATGGGCAGTCAAAAGTGTGTTGTTTGCCTTGTAATTTTAGAGTTAAAGTGATTTAATAGAACGTCGTTGTAGATCTGGTTTTGAATGTATACTTTTCCTTTTTTAATCTTCCTAGGACAGGACGCAGGTCCTGAGCCATATCGAGAGAGCTGAGAAAGCGAAAGTAAGTTCACTGCGATAAAAAGAATACTGGGTGTGCACGCTTTGTGTATTTAAAAAAAAAACAAAATACGTGCAAATGTGAAAAGCATCATTTGATGGGAGCATTAATTTTTTTTTTCTCTCTGATAAAAGGATATTAATTTTTTGAAACAGGTTTCGAGAGGCCCTCTACACAAGGCTGCTGCCAGTGGACAATACGAGATGGTTAAAATGCTTCTTGAAAGTGGTGAAGACGTGGACCAAAGAGATCAGGTTTAAGTCTTCCCCAGCCTATGTAAATCTAATGCTTACGGGTTCTTACATTCCTTTCTTACTTTAGTAGATTATGAGCAGAAGCCTTGCGTTCATGAACAAACACACCATTCTAATCGGCCGGTAGTGACAAGCGCGATTAACAGATAGCATAGTGTTGTTGCTGAAAATATCTATAAGTCATAACTTTTCTTCTGTAGAATGCCTAAGCTATTTTCACACTTTACCGGATACCGTATTTTTTCGATTATATTAACCGTCCTGGGCACTTATTAAATATTTGGACCTTGAGAGTGGGCGCTTATTCGAAGCTGGGCGCTTATTAAATTTTCATCATTTTCACCAAGTGTAGTATGTCTATTTTGCAACAAAACAATAAATGGTAATAACAAAACGCGAAGATGTAACAAAGCAAGGTTTCTGTTAGCCTCCCCGCAGACGTCCTTTGGGATTCCTGACCGAACCCCAAAGGACGTCTGCAGGGTCAAGAAAAACTCTGAAGATGACTCTCGCTCAGGAAGGTGACTCTGATGATCACTCACATTGGTGGTCAAAAACCTTACTATTCAGTACTGTACTCATCCGGACGATCACATTCAAACTTCCTAAATATACAACTTTGCAGTTTTGAAAAGTTATGGAGGCCTAATTTATTTTGAACTTGGAAGGAATTTCCGCCTTGAAATTTTAATAGGTTGAGGCGAAGCAGAAATTGAAAATGACTTGAGTTATTTTATTTGTCTGTTTTGTGTTTGTTTGTTTGTTTTTACCTCAGGAGCCTGAAAAATGTTCAGTGTTATCTGCATTTTCTTAATAAAGAATCAGTGGTTTGAATGAAAACATATAACTTTTTTCTACCAATCTGTAATGGAAAGGGTCGTATGGGGTCCGAACTATCCTTTTTTTCGGTGCAATCTCATCAACGTGCGATGGAATACATCAACGTCGCGACGTCATAGCCTTTTGTCTTTATCTCATGAAAAAAAGCGATGGATTGCCATTATCTTCTCTTTTTGTGCGTTTCTAATACAATAGAAACAATAGGCTGGTGGTGGTTCAGGAGGGAAAACAATCGAATTGTGGTGGTGGTGGATAATCACGCGTGTGCACTGAGCTGTGCAGACGTGTTCTGTGTGCTCCGATCTTAATTCACGAATTCTTATTTTATCCTGAACCTATGTATTCTGAAAAACATTCAGTATGACGGGTAACGACAAGCTACGAAAGGAAAATCAAGCCGCTTGATTTTCCTTTCGTAGCTTTGCGTAATTAAATAGAAGAATTAAAGAACACACTACAAAAAGTTTTATTTATTTGTGCTGCAATCTGCAACACTTTCCAATAGTTTAAGGTTTTTAATGATAATTTTTTAACAATAGAAATGTAGAGGAACTAAAAAGTGATGAGGGAAAACGAAAATTTTTTTTTGGTTGCAGAAAGAGCTAGTTTGCTTCCGTACTCATCACTATGCACAATTTCTGTACCAAGAATCAGTGAACCAGAACCAGGAAAATACGTTGTCTGCAATGGACAATGACAGTGGCAGGAAATAAACGTGAATAATCAATTAACGTTTAATAGGGCTCAGCGATTTTAGGTCACAGCCGAGTTAGCGCTTATTCCTTCAAAAATATGTTTCAACCATATAAGCCACTTCCACATTTCCCATAATGCACCTTAGCGCCCCCCCAAAATTTTGCATAAAAAGGGAAATGTGGAAGTGGCGTATGAATACTTTTTTAGTTGTAAGTCGACCAATCAAAACAAGACATTCATCGACCTAAAGATTACTGGAAAATCTGTCAAACTGGAAAAATGAAACTAGAACATGACAAACAGGGATTTGTGAGCCTATGTTCAATGGTCTACATCGGACTTATTCATTCAAACGTCGATCTCCTCGTGTACTTAATTGAAGGGAGAAGGTTCAGTACATTGAAAGGTCTATGTTCAAACTGGGCCTTACAAATATACAAAAGGTACGATAATGAGAATCCACTACATTTTATTCATGAGGTAAAGACAAATGGCCATGACGTCATCGGCGGTAATGTATTCCACCGCATATTAATAAGATTCCATTGAAAAAAAGGATAATTCGGTGATGCGCCTTATACTACTGGAAAGTGGCCTGCGACGTGGCATTTGGACTAAAGTTTAGTTTTATTCTTTTTGACTGGTCCTTGTAAACTGAAGAAGATAAAGTAGAGATGCTATGGCTTTGGTCTAAACTAGGCCTTTAAAAATTAATCCAGTAGCAGACTCTAAGTATGTTTCATAAAAGGACATCATTAGTATGGCACTGGATGGCTTTTTTTCGATCTTATGTAACCGCGTTATTTCTTCCTGTTTTCCATAGTTTTCTTTGACTCCTCTTCATCTTGCCTCTTGGTATGGACACCAATCTGTAGTCGAACTATTGTTGAAATACGGAGCGAACGTCAACAATAAAGACAAGGTGAGCAATAAAGGGTGGGGCAAGGGAAGTTCTTGGTTTCTTTTTTTATTATTCACACATGAATCTCTCTAAGATGACCGATTAAATTGACTTGGCTATTCTCACTGCCTGCATAACTAGCGCAGCACGAAATGTGACTCTAAACCTTTAGATTCTGCCAGGCTTTCATGTCTCCGGGGCGGGCATGATACTTTGCGGTCTTTCTGCTTAGATTCCCGTGTTTTGCATCTATCGGTGATCATTTGGGCCGCGTTCCGGTCAAGGAAGCTTTTGTCGCCCCACCTTCCTCCACTGGTGCCGGTTGACGAGGCCACCTTTGTCGCCTGCTGCTTACCTTGTTGCCACAGTTGTCGCGGTCTCCCGCCATAACTTAGTTTATTGTAATGTGGTAATGGGTATGCAGTGAGGATAAACTACTATATGTTGTACATGTACTACCGTATGTATACATACCGGTAGTTAGAATATTCTTTCTTGTTGGCAAATAGCACGTGGCATGTAACACGATAAACTCTGCTTGTGTCGTTTTTAGTTTCAACGCACACCTCTGCAAAAAGCTGAACGTCAAAACCACCACTCCATAGCGCAGTTGCTGCGGAAGAATGGTGCCAGGCTAACTCTTCATCAACCAGTAAGATATTAGATTGTATGTGCCTCTTGCCAAGCGTTGTCTTTCAGATAAAATTCGCTTACTTTCGTCGGTTGTATTCTATACCGATAATGTTGAACACTACAGTACGTCCTTTACATTGTCGTATGAGCTTGTGTCTAAGCCTACATCGCGTAGACCTTATGCTTGTCCCTTCCCTACACGAACGTCATTTTTATTCCCTTGGTTCTGACGCCCACCCGGAGATCACAGTGCAGTAAATCCTATATTAAACGGACACCAAATTAAGCGGATGAGTGGACCATATTTACTGTGAAATTACTGTAAAACGAACCATTAATAGTCGACATTAGCGAAGGCCGAGTATCTGTCCGCTTAATAAAGGTATCAAGGTAGATTTTAAGTACTGGTTAGCTGGCGTTGCGTCTTATACACATGCGCTCCCCCGACACATAACATTCCACAAATCTTTTTGTCGTTGATAGTTTTCGAGTAAGAATAACAGGAAATTAAAATTTGTGTAACGCGCACGTTTCTTCATATATATTATCACAGTTGCGATTTGTGAATTTGATCATAGTGAGAATTATTAACAAAATGGTGCGAAAAAACTCACATTTCTGTTTTTAAGTAACCTGCCCTTATGTTACCAATGACGCCATATATTTTAACCATAGCAGCCAACCACCATCACATGTTGTGTAAAATGTGTCCATTTGCAATAAGAATACAGTGAAATCCTCTTAATCTCTTATCCGCAATAAGAATAGTTAAAAAGTAGTGGCAAATGAATTTCCTTTTTGTTATTTTTGCTCAAAAGATGGTCATTTTCATCATAGGTCTGTCTAAAGAAACTCTCAAGAAAAGCTTTCTTGAAAGTGGATGAACAATCTGGATTTAATCCGCTCCAGGCGGCTGTCTTCGAAGGAAAATACGACATTGTGTTAAAGGCAAGTGGCCTTTTTGACAACTTTGTAGAAGAGATGAAACTTACAAAAACGGGAAAAAACGCCAAAGAATTTGTAGGAAAAACGGCAGTTGACTTCTTGTCACTTAGAAAGAGACAAAACCCATTTCATGTTGATATCAAAAGGATTTATGAAAAGTTGGCTAAGCAGAGCAGACTCACTGAGCTGCAGTGGAGTACATGCAATGATGATGTCGAACAGGCAGTTGAACTTGCATTAAACGACGGTGTAGATATCAGTGCCCCAGGATCAAACAATGATTGCACAGCTTTGCTGCAAGCGAGTCGTTCATCCTCAAGTCAGTTTATTGAGACCCTCATTGATCTTGGGGCCGACGTTAATGCCCAAAGGAGAGAATGCAAAGAAACGCCACTAATGTTAGCAGCTGAGTGGAACAACTACATGGCAGCAAGGTTAATTGTAAGGCATGGAGCTGATGTAAATGTCTATATTAGTAATGGGTGCACGCCACTGCACGTTTCAGTCAATGAAGGTCACGAAAACCTCGTCAGATTGTTACTTAAACACAACGCAAAGGTTAATATTCGAGATACTTATGGAAGAACACCCCTTCACCAATCATTCTTAAAAGGTAACGAAACGCTTTGTAGATTGTTACTTGAACACAAAGCGGATGTAAATATTCAAGATAACCATGGATATACACCCTTGCACTGGTGTACTAAAAAGAATAACGAAAACCTCTGTAGATTGTTACTTGAACATAACGCGGATGTAAATACTCAAGATGAAGATGAATATACACCCTTGCACTTGAGTGCCTCTCAGGGTAACGAAAACCTCTGTAGGTTGTTACTTGAACATAACGCGGATGTAAATACTCAGTATGAAGATGGATATACACTCTTGCACTTGTGTGCCTCAAAAGGAAACGAAAACCTCTGTAGATTGTTTCTTAAACACAAAGCGGATGTAAATATTCAAGATAAAAGTGGATATACACCCTTGCACTGGAGTACTAGAAGGGATAACGAAAATCTCTGTCGATTGTTACTTAAACACAACGCGGATGTAAATACTCAAGATGGAGCTGGATTTGCACCCTTGAATTGGTGTGCCTTAACGGGGAACGAAAACGTCTGTAGATTGTTACTTGAACATAACGCTGATGTAAATATTCAAGATATTCATGGATATACACCCTTGCACTCGAGTACTAGAAAGGGTAACGAAAACCTCTGTAGATTGTTACTTGAACACAAAGCGGATGTAAATATTCAAGATGAAGATGGGTGTACAGCCTTGCACTGGTGTGCCAAAGAGGGAAACGAAGACCTCTATAGATTGTTACTTAAACACAAAGCGGATGTAAATACTCAAGATGAAGATGGATATACACCCTTGCACTGGTGTGCTTTCACGGAAAACGAAACCCTCTGTAGATTGTCACTTGAATACAATGCGGATGTAAATACTCAAGATGAAGATGGGTATACACTCTTGCACTGGAGTACTAGAAATGGTAACGAAAGCCTCTGTAGATTGTTACTCGAACACAAAGCGGATGTAAATATTCAAGGTAAAGATGGATATACACCTTTGCACTGGAGTACTAGAAATGGTAACGAAAACCTCTGTAGATTGTTACTCAAACACAAAGCGGATGTAAATATTGAAGATAGAGATGGATATACACCCTTGCACTGGTGTGCCAGAGATGGTAACGAAAGCCTCGGTAGATTGTTACTCGCACACAAAGCGGATGTAAATATTGAAGATAAAGGTGGATATACACCATTTCACTGGTGTGCCAAAAAGGGTAACGAAAACCTCTGTAGATTGTTACTTGAACGCAACGCGGATGTAAATACTGAAGACAGAGATGGATATACACCCTTGCACTGGTGTGCCAGAGATGGTAACGAAAGCCTCTGTAGATTGTTACTGGAACACAAAGCGGATGTAAATATTCAAGGTAAAGATGGATATACACCATTTCACTGGTGTGCCAGAGAGGGTAACGAAAACCTCTGTAGATTGTTACTCGAACACAAAGCGGATGTAAATATTCAAGGTAAAGATGGATATACACCATTTCACTGGTGTGCTAGAAAGGGTAACGAAAATCTCTGTAGATTGTTACTCGAACACAACGCGGATGTAAATACTCAAGATGAAGATGGATATACACCCTTGCACTGGTGTGTCTTAACGGGGAACGAAATCCTCTGTAGATTGTTACTTGAACACAAAGCGGATGTAAATATTGAAGGTGAAGATGGATATACACCCTTGCACCGGTGTGCCAAAGAGGGTAACGAAAGCCTCTGTAGATTGTTACTTGAACACAAAGCGGTTGTAAATATTCAAGGTAAAGATGGATATACACCATTTCACTGGTGTGCAAGAAAGGGTAACGAAAACCTCTGTAGATTGTTACTCGAACACAAAGCGGATGTAAATATTCAAGGTAAAGATGGATATACACCATTTCACTGGTGTGCTAGAAAGGGTAACGAAAACCTCTGTAGATTGTTACTCGAACACAACGCGGATGTTAATACTCAAGATGAAGATGGATATACACCCTTGCACTGGTGTGTCTTAACGGGCAACGAAAACCTCTGTAGATTGTTACTTGAACACAAAGCGGATGTAAATATTGAAGGTGAAGATGGATATACACCCTTGCACCGGTGTGCCAAAGAGGGTAACGAAAGCCTCTGTAGATTGTTACTTGAACACAAAGCGGTTGTAAATATTCAAGGTAAAGATGGATATACACCATTTCACTGGTGTGCTAGAAAGGGTAACGAAAACCTCTGTAGATTGTTACTTGAACACAAAGCGGATGTAAATACTCAAGATGAAGGTGGATATACACCCTTGCATTGGTGTGTCTTAACGGGGAACGAAAACCTCTGTAGATTGTTACTTGAACACAAAGCAGATGTAAATATTGCAGGTGAAGATGGATATACACCCTTGCACTGGTGTGCCAGAAAGGGTGACGATAACCTCTGTAGATTGTTACTTGAACACAAAACGGATGTAAATACTCAAGATGAAGATGGATATATACCCTTGCACTGGTGTGTCTTAACGGGGCACGAAAACCTCTGTAGATTGTTACTTGAACACAACGCGGATGTAAATACTCAAGATGAAGGTGGATATACACCCTTGCACTGGTGTGCCTTAACGGGGAACGAAAACCTCTGTAGATTGTTACTTGAACATAACGCGGATGTAAATATTGAAGGTGAAGATGGATGTACACCCTTGCACTGGTGTGCTAGAAAGGGTGACGATAACCTCGGTAGATTGTTACTTGAACACAAAGCGGATGTAAATACTCAAGATGGAGATGGATATACACCCCTGCACTGGTGTGCCTTAACGGGGAACGAAAACCTCTCTAGATTGTTACTTGAACATAACGCGGATATAAATATTGAAGGTGAAGATGGATGTACACCCTTGCACTGGTGTGCCAGAAAGGGTGACGATAACCTCGGTAGATTGTTACTTGAACACAACGCGGATGTAAATACTCAAGATGAAGGTGGATATACACCCTTGCACTGGTGTGTCTTAACGGAGAACGAAAACCTCTGTAGATTGTTACTTGAACATAACGCGGATGTAAATATTGAAGGTGAAGATGGATGTACACCCTTGCACTGGTGTGCCAGAAAGGGTGACGATAACCTCGGTAGATTGTTACTTGAACACAACGCGGATGTAAATACTCAAGATGAAGAAATGGGGAACGAAAACCTCTGTAGATTGTTACTTGAACATAACGCGGATGTAAATAGTCAAGATGAAGATGGATATACACCATTGCACTGGAGTGCAAAAAGGGGTGACGGAAACCTCTGTAGATTGTTGCTTGAACACAACGCGGATTTAAATATTCATGATTATTATGGAAATACACCCTTGGACTGGTGTGCCTCAATGGGGAACAAGAACCTCTGTCGTTTGTTACTTGAACACAACGCGGATGTAAATATTTAAAGTAAAGGTGCACCTTTCAGCTTTCAACAGCAATTGCAGTAAAATAATCGATCTCCTGGTAAAAGTATGGGGTGCAAAATATCAACATCTGCGATTCACAACGCACGCCTCCTCTTCACCTGGCAGGTAGATGTGGTAATGCACCAGCTGTGAAAAAGTTTTTTTATCTAGAAGCTGATGTTAGTGTGGTAAAAGCAGATAAAAACGATGCCATTAGACTGAAACGTTTAAAGAATGAACCGGAGAGGATTGAGGAATATATTGAGTTTGTTTTTCCACGAGGAGCTGATGTTAGTGTGGTAAAAGCCGTTAAATACGATGCTATCAGACTGGAATGGTTAAAAAATGAACCGGAGTGGATGGAGGAATATCTAAACTTTAAAAAGGGCTCTACGCAAAAGCCTTTGCAGAACATCTCAAATCAAAGAAAATACTGAGGAAAACCCCTTCGTGTACAACAAAGGAAATAACGCAGGAACCGGAAGCTGAATAAGTGAAGACACTTAGTAAATAAACCCCTTCCAGCGGCTATATATCGGAGGATAATGCCCGCGACTGAGAGCGTTTCCGAAAAATAAACATTTGCCTTAGAGGCGAAGCTTCGAGAGCAAATGTGAAATTTTGAGGACAATCTCGCAGCGAAGGGCATTATTTTCCTATATGCTAGTAAGCCAGAAACGGGTTTATTTATTTTATAATCCTCTGGTTAATTTTTTCATCTCTATAAAACAAGAGGTGAGCGTGCGTGCGAATGACGCAAACAAGCACATTGATTGGTTGATTTTTTTAGTGAAACTGTGATTGGACCAGGGCTTGACAGGCTGTCATGTCAAATGAAACCTCGCAACGCCCCATAGATCAAAACTGGAAAAAGCAGCGCTTTTAGTTAATGTTTTACCGCAGCAATGTTTGAAAACTACTCAAAAAAAACCGTTTCTAATGGATAAGTAACGAGAATCCAACCATATCACTAACTGCCGCTGCAAGAGTTAGGAAAGTAATTTTAACTATGAAACACAGAAACTGAACAATCTGGACCAGTTGGCAAAAACCCGGATTTGTTGGATTTGTTGCTGTGGATGGTGGAAGCTGAGGAAGTCATACAAGGGAAAGGTAGAAGAAATAATAAGGCCCATTTGTACTGACCGGAATTTACTTGAGTTAAGCTTTTAAATCGCCTGATAATCGAATATGACTCGAACTGTTGCTCTGTAGTTTGGTTGCGCACTTTACGATTCGATCAATTTATCGCCTTCATGGCCCGCTACGCTTTTTTCTCTCTTTTCTCCATGCTGAAAGTAACAAAAAAGGCATTCTTTCGTAAACACTTTGAAGTCTTCTTTTCCATAGCTGAGAGCTATGACTGCATAAAGAACTGTAACCAAGTTACTTTTTCTCATCTCCGTTTCATAGCTTAAGCTTATTTTATTGATTTCTCTGTATTTTTCGGAACTGTCATTTGCGAACAGCTCAAAAGTTTCGTTTAACTGGATTATTCAAAACAAGTTTGTTTTTACGGCTTTCATTTTAAATCATGTATTAAAGAAGATAAAAACTGAAAAGAGACTCACGGCTTTGTTGACTCTGTGATGCTTTCTTGCCACTGAAAAATCGTACGGCCGACACGAACGGGGTGTATTTATCAATTATTCCTCGAGCCCGAATGGGCTCTGAGTCAATAACCCATGAGGCCGATTTGGTACCACGTGACCCAAAATAGCCCATAAAATCGCGCCAAAATTAATCAGTGGATTATAATAGCAGTGAGCCACCCCACATCAAAGGCGACCTCATCCTCAACAACTGTAAAATGATTTAAGGCTTAATTTAGCCTTTTTTGTTTTGTTTTTGCTTTTGTTTTCAGCGTTATAGTGTTTTTGAAAAGGGCCAGGCTGTTTGATCCATAAAGCTGTTTTACTTCTGTTCCAACAATCCAACCTCGTGAAGTTCAACGGGTTATCTTTGCTCTTCAATTCCTTCTGTTCCACACGGAACGGAATTTCTGCATGTAAACCTAACGAAAAGTTGTTTCGCCTCACGGCTAGGATCTTCTTGCCTCTAAGTAAACAGCCCCTAAGCAAGGTCTTGCTTTGAAGGCCTCGGCGGCAAAATGGGACTCAACCTTTCCTTGAGTGCTCCCCTCGGTTACGGTACGTTATGATTTTTTTGAGATTAGTGAGTCCGTGAGTCTTAGGACTGGAGCGCAATGCCCTGTAGTTCCTCCGTTGGAATTAATACTTTTGTTTTAGCTTAACAGTCTACGCGACTATTCTGATGGTTTTTGAGACAACTTCCCCGGAAACACCCCCCAGGTCTCTTTCGGCCATGATATATGTTTGAGTGTCCTGGCCTTGAGTACTGCCGACCAACTACTACTGAAGCTGTCTTGTGGGTAAGATCCATCTCATTTTGAAAACTTAAGGGTAATTTTCAATAGGAACTTTGGTGCTGCATTGGGGTGTGTGTATGTGTGTTGTGGGGGCGGGGAGGCACTGGGTGGGGGGAGGAAGTTAACCTGTCACTGGCCTGTCACTCGAAAAATGCTAATGGCCAGACGTTTGAGAACCTCAATTGCAGTGACTCAGGATATGTTGAAACCTCCACTCTATGACCCTAAAGAGGTCCTCTCTAAGCTAAAAGAAAGCAAAAGCTACAGCATGACAAAACAGCGGGGGGACTACCACCATTGAGGGATGGTGAGGTTGTAAGTGTTAGAGAAGGCAACAAGTGGAAATCTGCTAGGTCTACTAGAGTTTCACAGGTTCTTCCCTCATCCAGACCTTGCAAGGTTGAAACAGCCCGTGGCGGAGGGTATCGAAGAAACCGTCGACATTTATTGAGAACTGAAGAGTCTCAGATCCCGGAAATCACCCCTACACCGGAAGTCTCAAATGATGAGGACCTGACAGACACCAAATTTGAGCCATCCTCTGTTACAGTGGCCCACGAGAATCCTGGAACACCGCCAGCTGGAATTTCTGTTTCTACTACCACGCGGTCTGGTCGGACAACTAGAAAACCACAGAGATTTAAGGACTATATGTTAAGTATTAGCAAGAGAGGATGATCTAGCTCATTCTCTCTTGGTATTAGATACAAAGCAGACTTCTTCTAGCTTTTCACTAAAGCATAATGTTTTCAGTTTGCAGAAAAGGACACATTGCTCTTGTTGCAGCGTTATCTCCAGTTTGTTTTGTTACAGTTTGTTTGCTAAATCAGGGGCACCCAACGAGGATATAGTTCAAAACCACTTAAACATAGCATTGTTGAACGTATTTTAGTATTTCAACGGTAGATATAGTCATATTTTTATCCTCAAAAAATTTTTCATCTGTTCGGATTTCCTAGCTGAAAGTCTAGTGATCCAAAAATTATAAGCATCAAAACTTACCTTTTCGAAAATTTCAGCCAGAAAAAAGGCTTCCGAAAATTCTAGGTGACCTTTTTAGGGCAAAAATCCGTTAAAAATGGGCAACTATACCATTTTTAGATCAGGTTCGAAAATCCTAGGAGGAGCAGGCAAGCAAGAAATTTTACAACAAATGTTCCGAAAATTCTAGATCTCCAATCGTCTTCCGAACAGATATTTTCCGAAAATTGACGTTGGGTGCCCCTGTTAAAGTCAGTAATTTATGTTTTTTTCTTTAAAAAGGGGAATGTAGCATCAGGTCAGCGGTTATATTTAGCGCATCCCTACTTTAATTAAGTGTGTTCTTATGCATAGGCCATCTTTTGTGTGTATTTTGTCGTCTCGGAGAACACTTAACACACAGTTAGTTCGGTTTACAGACTTTAAGAGCGCGCGCGCATGCTGTATCTTGATGTGGGTGATGGAAATCTTGATTTTTTTATGTACTTAACACAACACATTTTGTTTGTAATTTTTTTTTAACTTCCTACTGCCTTCGCGGCACACCCCTATCCAAAATTCGCGGGAGTACCCCCGGGGGTGAGTAACTGGCCACTTGGTCACGAATTCAACCAAATCCAAAATTGCAAAGAAGCAACGGATCAGAATTGTAGTTGCTTCACCTGTCAGGTGTTCATTTATGAAATTTTATTCGTTTTCTACTTTCCACAGGAAAAGAGAAACAAAACCTTTGCCCATATCAACGGAAGGCATGATCACGAGCCAAACATTGGCAGGGAAAAATGTGATTCTGAGTTGCGTCTCTCGCTCAACTGCTGGGGCAAACCAACGTACCAAAACCGTGAACAAATTCAGTTGTAGAACTTTGTTCTACGGAAGTCAACAATACTTTGATTCCACCTGCGGAAATGTAAATATAGTTTGTAAAGGAAAAACCAAGTTCTATAGCTTTTTTATGAGTCATTTTCTGGATATGTTTACACGATGAATGATGTGTTTGTTATAATGCCTACAACTAATGAAAAACTATATCGTATTATTTTAATTCAAACAGCAATAACGGGGAGATAAAATCGCATTATTCAGGAGATGATGGATTGAGACACTTTCATGCGCAAAAAAACAGATCAACTGGTTTCCTTTCACGCGATTGCCTAAATTGTAAAGCGTTGGTTTAAAAGCGGCCGTGTCGATCAAAGCTTCAGTACTGTTCAAAGTACTACACTACTTGATTCAAAAGATGTATTTTAAAGCCTTGTTTCTTTTCTCGTGCATCGTTGCAGCATGTTGGTCGGCCAAAGTCAAATTCAGCGGTAGGTATTGAGATTTCGCTTGTGTCTGGTGTCTATGTCTTATTAAAACTTCTCAGAGAGTGGCCGCTATAACTTGAATTTAACTTACTGTAAACCACACTAATCGTGACAGGAGTAGTTAAAAAAAGGAATCCTACTAATTTTTTTTTAACTTCCTACTGTCTCCTTTTTATCTACTACGAATAGATTATTTCCTTCCTTCCTTCCTTCTGACTACACTTATACGGAATAGTATGTTGTCCCGATAACGTACGCTTGTTATAGGTACTCGTAACCATTAGAGCACACATTCTCCTCAACAGACGTTTTTACCAATACGGCGGCCATATTGAATTAATTCGATTTAAGGAGTATTATGGCATGCCCAGGGGGCATAAGCACGATCTGTTATACTCGCTTAGTATTAGAAATATGGTCTTTCACTTTAAATTTCTCGGGGAAAAAGGCGGTCATTATTACATCCAAACACGGCACAACGATCTACTTTGCCCATTACAATCGTATTCTAAGCCCCGAAAGGTTCGCGTTAATACTAAGCGAATATATCAGAATGTACTCATGCCCCCTGGGCATCCCATAATACTCCTCAAATCTAACTAATTCAATATGGCCGCCGTATGGGTAAAAAGGTCTATTTCTCTCCAGTTTCCAGTGGTGCTAATTGCGGATGTATCCGAGGATGTACTTAAACACTATACCGGATAGCTCTTTCGCTCACGCATATCAACGGTCATATGTGCCACTCCGATCTTGAAATCAGATCGATCACATATCAGATAGGTTTTTGTGCCACTCTTTGTGTCAGTGTGAACAGGCCGGAGTAGCTTTCCATGTCGACATGATCAGCTAGTATTCGGTTCTTGACACTTGATCAGGTGGTGTGCAAGTAGGAGCAACAATGGCTTGTACCTTAACAAGATTGTGCAGCCCAAGCAGTTTGACAAACGCATCATAATACCTGCGGCTTCTCACACAGTATATGTATGGATTGATGGAAGAATTACAAACCGACAAAACTTGCAGTAACGTAAAAATGGTGAAGTATGTGGTATTATGCACATAACTGGCAATGACGCGAGGAACCACCAAGAGAGGAAACCAACACACAATCGCTACTCCTAAGATGACCGCGATGGTTTTTGCTGCTTTTCGCTCCCTGCGAAAGCCAGTTCTTTGTTCCCTAGTAGAGGCATTTTGTACGTGAGCCACCGACCGTTCCAGCCTGCTTGCAACCACAAAGATGTAAACATATATTAAAATTGTTCCAAGAAGAACCGCCACAAAATAACTTGACGAGTAAGTTGCCGGAGCGAGGTCTTCAGACCATATTCCTCCATAGGCTATTGAAAAGACCCAGATACAAATCAATGTTACCACAGCACGTGTTTTTGTCACCAGAAGTCCATATTTCAGAGGAAATCGAATGGACATTAGGCGTTCCACGGTTACTCCTAGCATGTTTGTTATCGAAGCAATCAGCGCGACATATCCAAGAAAGGCGCTTATAGATATCACAAACTTTATAACCGTGGAGTCATCTGACAAATTTGCAATCCTGTAAGCTTTTAAAGGTTGATACAACGCCGATACGAGGAGGTCTGATATTGATAGGCTGAAAATGAACAAGTCTGGTATAGCTCTCAAGTTCTCGAACTTGATTATGGAGGAGACAACTAAAGTGTTTCCACTTGTTCCGAAAATACTACCAAGGCCCAGCACGATGCACAAAACGATCACAACTGGATAGTCAAGTGTTCGGTTCTCTGTCGGAGCAGTAGGCTTCATAGTAAGGTTAACTGAAGTCGAGTTAATAAAAAATGACGCATTTTCCATCGTCGGCGGCGATTATAACCAGTCACCCTGGGAAAAAAAGAAAAAACGTGGAGTTCAGTGATAAACAAATGAGAGATTTTATTATACGATTTCTTTGATCCGGAATATGACCTTAATCAATAAGGGAACAAATAGAAATCAGGAGAAAAGATAGAGTCAATCAGATATCAAGTTTCCTCTGATTTTGACTTGTTCAGGGTTCTTTACAAAAATATTATCGATAAGAATGTTTGAGTTATTGCGAACGCGTGTTGGTTAATTTCGTGATGGAAACGAAGACAAAAAAATTAACTGTCTCTCGTCACATTAAGGACTTGAGATTGTCTCTGGGCGACATTTCGGAACTCTTGCGACTAAGAAAGGAAAGTTATTGCAATGTTAAACTGTAGTGGCTGGATACTGGGTTACATACTGTATGTGCCAAGGAATCCCGCGCTTTGCAAACCAATTGGTCTGGCTCTCTCTGTATTGACGTGACTAGCCTGAGATCATGCCCTCTCCCTATTATCCCTTTATGTCTCTCATGGGAAGAGGGCATGATACATTTCTTTGTCGGATCACATGTAAAAAAGCCAGAATCTGGACTTTTTTCTGATTGGATAGAAAACAACGCGCTGTTCCGATTAGCCAAAATGCCGCCATCCGTTAGTTGTTGTTGATTTCAGTCTGCATTTTTGCTTGCGTAATGAGCAGTGAATACACATGCGAGTTCGTTATGAAATTTCCGCCGGCTCAGTTTTCTTGAATTTGAAGAATGCCTAAATAGAAGTTTCATCCATTGAAATATTCTCCATCTCATCGTATACTAAAACAGTTGCAGTCAAAACTTCACCGATCATTTGAATGCAATTTGATACCGGCTACAAGTTACAGAAGCGACAAACGGGTTCACTTTTCAAATAATCAATTCATGAATGGAATCTTGACTTGGTTTGACTGTCATTCCTCCTTCAGAAATCTGCGAATTATTCTGAGCGATCTTCGCTTTCACAACACCTTTCAGTTCGTGAAATATGGTGCTTCAGACTAATTTTTCTTTTCACTGCTTTCGGCACAGAAAGAAGTCAACGAGCTTTAACCAGTAAATTCTTAAATTTGTAACTGTTAAATAAAGGTACGGCAGCTCCAGCTAGCAGTATTTCATCACAAAAACAACACATTTAAATTTTGGGGGGGAATCGAAGAGCCATCTCAACATGGACGTACTTAAAAATTTCCTTTTCCCTAAAATTGATTTCAAAAGAGACATTATTCGCGCAAAAATTTGACTCCTGTATGGTAAACGATTATTGGCTAATAACATGACAGGTCATGCAGACGTTAGATTATGTAAACTAGGGGGCGGTTGACGGCTTGTTAAATGAATGTATCAGGCGTTATTTTTTTCCCTCTCGAGCCAAAGAAGTAAAGAAGCAAAAAAACAAAATAACGCCTGATCTCAGGTTATGACGTGACAGGTTCACGTGACCTGTTTCCAAGTAGACTGCAAAACAGTCGTTTTTTTTTGCAAAATTGGTTTAGAGTAGGGTCAGAGCAGCGTAAGAGCAAGCGCCTGAGCCTCACATGCCCGAATACGTAGGGCAGGTGAGGCGAGAGAAAAAAAAAACCGACTGTCCGTTTTCCATATAATGAGTTCGTTCTGACCAGGGGGTTCAAAAATGTCGTCGAGCTGTCAAAAATCTAATCACAACTCTGTCCTCTTTGTAAATTTGATACATCCGGTAATTGATTTCGCGAGAGAATACCGAAAGCAGTCTTGAGCGTTGTTTCCGTGTACAATGTGGTGTTTTCTGGAAGATCAAACATGAGTGGATGGAAGTGGCAGTACACCAACAAAGCCTGTTCCGTCTGTTCCTGCTTCTCGAAGAAGGAGAAAGCCGAGCCGGGCGCTTCAGATAATTGTAGAATGTGCAGCTGTTGTTTCAAAACACAGTTTGGCAATTTTAAGAGTGGATGGATAAGCTCTGAAAATATGTTTATTGCCCCTACTAGTACTAGAAAAAGGTGAAAACGTTACCAAAATTGACCGACCTTCTGATAAACGAACTTTTCGTTGTCCTCGACGAAGGAGAATCTTTCTCCACAAAGGTGGAAACTGCGCTGCGAGTCTCTCGCAACTGAACACGCCAACGGACAATGAATTCATCATGGTAGGGAACATCACAAATGACTTGTTGCAAACATAACTTGACAGTTCGCTAAGAGCTTGCGTCAAAATTTAGCCAATGGGAATTGCCCGTGGCTGGGAGAAGCGGGCAATTCGAATGAATATATATCTTATTCAAAACGGACAGTCCGTATTTTTAGCGTCTCTCCCAAGTCTCGCTCTCCGTTTTCAGCTTTTGTTTAACTGTTCGTGCGTATAGTGCACTAACCTGAGATCAGGCTCTATTTTCGTTTCGCTTTGAAAATTACATTCCGGCGGGCAAGGCGAAACGAAAAGAGAGCCTGATACAAAATCTGGCCGTAACGAGCACAAACGTGAGAGAGTTTGTATCAGGCCCAATTTTAGTGGTAGCCTTTAGAGAGAATGTATGAGAACCGCTAAAATTGGGCCTGATCTCAGGTTAACAGTGTACTTGAATACGCAAAAATACGGACTGTTTTGCAGTCTAGTTTCCAAGATGCCAATGCTGATTCCGTCGTCAGGGTCGTAAGTACTCTACACAGTCGGCAATTACTTTTCTTACTGACTCCATTAGAAGAGGCATGGATGTTAGGGTGCGTTTTTTCGGGAAAATCCAAAAACGGATTTTGAGTTTTTTGGGGGCATATCCAAAAACGGATCATGAATCCATAAAATCCACACTCAGGGTGGATTCTTCGGATAAAATCGAAATCCGGATTTTTGAGATTCACAATCTGAGCGTTTTTTTGGGAAAGGATTTGAAAAAAGTATTTTTGACCAGCGGTTTTTCGAAAAAAAATGGTCTGAACCTCATGTTGGTGGGGTCTTATTAAGTTTGAGCAGAAACTCATAAGGGGTTGAATCAACCCCTTATGAGTTTCTGGTTTGAGCCATATCATTCCATGTTTGTCAGCTATTCAAATTATTGGTAGACTGTTTTTAAACCCTTACTTGTCATGTTTTTTGTACGTATGTAGTGTTTGCTTACGCCGGTTTATTGTCCAATTTAAAAAAAAAAAATTCATCGGCTTCAATTTTAAATTCTTATAATTTCACTATCCTAAGGAGTTTAATTTATTGTATTCGAGAAACGTTTGTGTTTCAAACCGAAATATATATATTTCGTATATTCATTCCTAGCTTATGTTGCTTTTTCTTCTTGTCTTCGCCGTGAGGATCAGTTTGTTTTTTTTTTTTTCCCACGAGGAACACGAGGACATGCCGTTGTCATGGTAAATGATCCTTTTTCGGATCTTTCGTTTTTTGGTAGTGAAGAATCCTTATGATCTGAGATCACAAATCCGTTTTTGGATTCTCCCAAAAAAAAAACCCACCCTTGGACTCCTAACTGGTGGACTTTCGTGAGGCACCCAATCTGTTTTCGCGAGAGGTGTTCTGTCCAGTCCTCTCTCCTGCCGCCGCCAAATTGAAAAACGAGGAGACCCTGGGGACGAGGTTGGACATTTTATGTGGAGATACATAGCAACATTGCGCCGGTGTCGGTCTGATTTCGATTCTAAAATCTCCTTTCTCCTAGCCCGTTAGGAAGGCGGCCTGATACTCAGGCTACAGTCTGATTTGAACGGTGTTGATTTAGGAGTCAGATTAGAGGAGATACCACTGGAAGAACATCAGAAGTTAGAAACTAACAGCTGAACGTCGAGCTGTTCAGCTAAGGCAGGGTAAGGATTCTTGTCTTTGTCTGTTTTTGTTCCTTTAAGTCTCCTCTTTAACTAAAGACTATGCAGCTATATTGAATTTAATAAGCAATTTTCGCAAGTTTAGCTGAGCAAAATGCAGCTTGAACTAATAAAGAAGTTCAAGAAAAATGATTTCCACCTAAAATATTAATGAACTCCTCTTTATTGTGGAGCATCCCACGTATGGTGTCTAGTGCGCTTTTGGATGCTTCCCTCTCTTCCTACACTTATTTTTATAGTGTATATGTTTACACTTTTACTTACTGTATTGGAGAAAACCGTAATAAAAAAAATCGAAACTGTAACGTTAACAAGCTTAACCAAGATAAAAAGCGTTGATGTTTTATTTAGACGAGAAAATCATAAGATCAACCCACTTCCGGCTTTGAACACTGATTGAACTGGCATCAAGTCTTATACACTAAGCTTATGTATTTTGAAATAATAAACGAACTTTTTGATTCTTCAGTGGTAATAAATGGCTGCCAAGGCATTTCGGAATAATGCAACATTACACACTGATTCTTTACCAATTAACTTAATTCCCGGCCACATCCCCAACAACCCCCACCCCTCCCCCTTCCCGCTCCTGCTCCCCTGGCATTGAAATACATTTGATGGCTCAGTGAAATACAATAGGACTTTTGTGAGTTTCAAAATATAAATTGTTGCTTTCAAAATGAGGCAAAGTGAAAAAAGTGTTAGTGAATATGTTGTGGTTCAATTTTATCCTTGGTTCAAATTTTCTTTTCTTTTGTTTTTGGGTATGGTAATGTATGATAATAATATGATAATGAGTTTGAAACAAAAGAAAAGAAAATTTGAACCAAGGATAAAATTGAACCACAACAAATATACCAAAAAAAATAATTTATATCAATGGCTTTGCACTTAGCCTGGCTGTAAAACAGAGACTAATGGAGCAACTTTGAAATTATCTATCTCATGTTTGCCCAATTTTTTGCAAGTTTCACAAAAATCGCAGGTTTTGTCGAGGCCCTCTCAACCTCCTCTTTCACTTCTTTACTCTCTTCGCCAAATTTCTGAATTTTGCTGAAATTTTCCAACTTTTTTCTAATTTGCAGTTTTCACAAAAATCACAGATTTAGCTGAGGTCTTCCTTACCTCCACGTTTACTGCTTTTCACTAATGTAGTGAATTTTCAAATTTTTTGTAATTTTTGCAACTGCATGCAAACCTGGACATATCTCTCCCTGGATTAACCACAGCACTGACAGCTGAGAGTCACATTATTATTATTATCTGACAAGAGGGCAGTATGATTAATATGTTACTATAGCAAGGACTTGTATTCCCCTTCTATTCATCAGTCAAAGCTGTCTCATCTTATTAGCCTGAGGTCATGAAAGCAACAAGGAGTCTGGACAATTCAGAGGTTAATTCTTTTTTTTATTTCTTGTTACAAAAAGTTATACTTTATTCAACTGTGCTGTTGACATGTCAGCTGGCATTTGTTGACTGACATTGTTGTCATGTTGACTAATATTAACCATTATTTCAAATGAGGCTTGGTCAACATGTTCACTTGACAGTCGTCGGCCAATATGATGACATAAGGGTGCTTTTAGTTCACAAGATCCAAGAAATTTATGGTTAAGCCTTGTTTGTTTGGTGAATAACTTCGATTTACCTCTATGATCACATATGTATAGACCTAATTGAAGTTTGCGTCATGGTATCAAAAATAAAAAATGAAAGTGACAAATGTATGCCAAAATTATTCACTTCATAACTTGTAGCACGCCTGACCTTTAGATATAAAAGGAATTTCTCATATTTTGAAACTCTAAGACAAAACTCTTCCTCTAAAATATACTGATTGTAAGCTGTTAATTTATCAAAGCGCAATTTTGTCACTGTTTTAAGAATAATACTGAAATCTGGAGGAAATAACATTGATATGCCTAATTTATTCCTATTTAAATGAAATTTTCTAGACATTGTTTGGGGGTCTTTGGGTGAGGGAGTGAAAAAAAAATTGGGTATTCTACCCCTACATTGTATCAACTTACGTATATACCGTAAAATTCCGAAAAAAAGCCCCTCCATGTATAAGCCCCTCGAAATATAAGCCCCTGAAACCGGTAATGCAAAAAACCTTCCGTTAAATCACCCCTCCAAATATAAGCCCCCAGGGGGCTTGTACTTGGAAAATTGCCCTCAAATACAAAGTAAAACAAAACCGAAATGGTAAATTTACTTCCAACTATAACAATAGCCCAATCAATTTTGAAACGCAAATTTCCCTCCATAGATAAGCCCCTCCAAATATAAGCCCCTCCAAAAATAAGCCCCTCCAAAAGGGCCTTTAAAAAATATAAGCTCCGGGGCTTATTTTCGGAATTTTACGGTTGTTGATGAAAACAAATTTTTGTATAAATAATTGTTATTACTTTGTTTTCTTTCATTTTTATTATTTATTATTTTTATTATTAATTATTTTCTTATTAGTTTTAATTACGTGACCAGGGATCAATGTGAAGAATTAGATTAAACAATTATCATAGTTTTTTATTGTAAAAGAACAATGACAATAATTAAGTGGGCATGGTTCTTCAACAGAAGTACCAACAGTTTACATTTATGTTCACTTACTGTTATTTATTGTCATATTTGCATGTTCTTTGTAGGCTTGCTATGGTGACACCAGTGTTCCAGCATTACATGTTACTCTTCTTGGTGGTGAGTGGGGTTCATCTGCTGGTGGGTTATCAACCATAAACAGAGAGCTTGCTATTCACCTTTCAAATCATTCAGCGGTGAAGATTTCTTTACTAGTCCCAGAGGGAGCTTGCAACACTGAAGAAATTAGAGAAGCAGATGGCTATGGAATCACTATTGTTGAGGCGAAGGAACGTGCAGCATATGATCGTCTTGATTGGTTGAGCAACCCACCCCAGGACCACTTCATGGACATCGTTGTTGGCCATGGTGTTAAACTTGGTCGGCAAGTACAATTCATTAGAGATTCTGCCCAATTTTCAAACTGTAAGTGGGTACAAGTGGTTCACACTGCTCCAGAGGACCTGAGCAGTTTCAAATCCTACAGTGATCCCATTTCAAAAGGTGAAACAAAACACGAATCAGAAGTTGAGCTTTGCAAACTTGCTGACCTTATTGTGCCTGTGGGACCCAGACTAAAAGAAGCATACTCTTCATATTTACAGCGATATAAGACAGAGCAAGACCTTTTGTCCATTACTCCAGGCCTTTTTGAAAGGGAGTTTGGGGATTTAGTGGTGAAACAAGACCCTAATGAGGATGGTGAATTTAAAGTGTTGTTATTTGGTCGTGGGGATGATGAGGACTTTGAACTCAAAGGTTACAACATTGCTGCTTACGCATTTACTGATCAACGGTTAAATAACAAACCATATCGTCTAATCTTTGTTGGAGCACCTGAAGGAAAGCAAGAAGAAGTTAGAGAAAAACTTCTTCAGTGTGGTATTGTGGAAGCGCAGTTGACTGTTAGAAAATTTGTACAAAGTAGAGAGAGACTGAAAGATTTGCTTTGCGAAGCTGACATTGCCATAATGCCGTCAAAATCAGAGGGATTTGGGCTCGTAGCACTTGAGGCCTTGTCTGCGGGACTACCAATTCTTGTAGGCAGTAGGTCAGGATTTGCCAAAGCATTAGAGAATGTTCCTCATGGTAATGCTAGCATCGTGAATTCAGATGATCCTGCAGAATGGGCAAAAGCAATAGAAGCTGTTCGTTTAAGGCATGGAATGAGGCTTCAAGAGATTAAATCACTGAGAGCATCTTATGGAGAGACGTACAGTTGGAAGGAGCAATGTGAAGCCCTTGTGAACAGAATGCGGAGAATGGGTCATGGTAAGAGTTATTTGTTAAGTGCTGATAGTATTCATGTGGTACCAGACATCACACTAATATAGTTGTTGTGGCACAATATAATATGTAAATGTAAGAGTGCAGTGCACTCACAAGCACTGAATGCATTTTGTTCTTTGATCACATTGTCAAGTGTACACGCAGGTTCTATAAGATTTTCTCCACAAATTTAGTACACCAACATAATCCCAGAATATTTAATCATTTTACTGATAGCTAGATAAATATGGCCAAGACATATAAAATAATGTACGTACCTCAGTCTTTACATCCCTTACCTAATAGATTCAGTTACTTTCCTAAGAAATCAGGCATCTTCAAATCTTTAACGGTGGTGGGGCAGCATGTAGCCATATTTGAACTTCAGCAGGGTGCAAAGAAAGTCAGTTTTATAGCCTGCCATTCAGGCAAGCTGTAGCTAGCTTGTACTAGCCCACAAGTCATTTCAACTAACCCTAAAACCCTTATTGATTGGCAAGTCTTCTGTAATTTGAATTTCCTAAAAAAAACAGCCCACTGGGCAAGTTAAGAACAAGAATCACGAGCCCGGTACCAAAATCCACGAGCCCTGAGCTATCGGACACAACTTTCTTTGCACGCTGTTCAGTGTTATTTTTAAACTTCCACCGAAGGAAAACATACAAAGACAGTCAGTTTTGTGTTGGGAAGTCAGACAAACATGCAAATTAAATTGGCTACTTGAAATTTTGGTAGGGCTACTTTCCTTTATAATAATGTAGTTCAAATCTTGATAGAGCTGACTGTATAACCATGTAGGATTTACTACCCTTTTGAAATGTAATCTTAAAATGGATCTATAGTACTTTAAAAAGTTATGATGTTTTTACCATCAAATTTACTCTGAATTCCTCAATTTTTTCCTCTTGAGCTTAAATGTTTTGTGCACACCTTTTAAAGTTGTGTTGGAAGTTGTCAATGCATGAAAAGATCTGTAATGTGTAGAATAAGGGTCTCCACTATGTTTAAGAGTCACAGCTGCTGCATGTCAGTGTGACCGTCAAAATTTATTTTTAGTGTTACATGGGATGTGGTTCTACACGAGTGGTTATGGGTGGTGGAGATGTCAATGGGTTACAAAAACGTATATTATTATACATTATTTTGTAAGAAGCTGATAATAAAGGCTTGTTCTCACACCAGATGCTCCTGATATACCAAAGGATGGTTCTGTCACTGAAAAGCTGCCCATTGCAAAAACACGTGCTTCAGCTTCTGGATTCTCAGGAGAGCAATGTCCAGTTGATGAACAGCCTAAAACTGAGGATTCATTCAGATTAAGTGAAGAATCTCCGTCAACTTGCCATACTCCTAGCATATCTGGGATTACTTCTGACCAAGGTATGGAACTGAATTACATTGACAAGGTGCCACACTTTTTTTTAGGTGTTTTAGTGGCTTGTTTTAATAAACTCTTCAGAATTTTTTGGCCCATTTAAAAAGTAACTGTTTTTATTTTTGTCTCTCTGCTATTCACCAATTTCAGATAGACCATGCACCTTGTTTACTTTCCAAAATTTTGCATAACCATTGTCTTCAATTTTTCTTGGGACAAGTGTAATACCCAGGAGAAATTAGGGGGTAAACAAGATGCGTGCAAGATGTATGTGAAAATGGTGAATAGCTAAGAATGCTCTGTTTGTGTAAAAGCCTTTTCAAACAAAGAGCTGAGGAGCCTCACTGAGTTTTTTTCTTGAATAGTAATAAGATAAGCAGTAATTGACTTGTAGTTAATATCAGGGGCATCCAACGATGGTCTCCTCCTAAATACACTGAAAACACTTTCTGGGCTATCCAGAGTACTTTCAGATACAGTGAAACCTGTATTAAGGGGACACATTCGGGGAATGCTGTAGTGTCCGCTTAATACAGGGTGTCCGCCTAATACAGGTTTCGATAGTTAACGTCATAAGAGGTGTCAAATGCCATTCAAATGAACAGTGGAAACGCTCAAAATACTCCCCGAGAGACTATGATGATATACGTTTGCATTAATTTCTTTAAATCAAAGTGAACCAATTGATTGTAGTATCATAAACATAGATTGCAACTCAAATTTGAAGAATTCAGATGAGTGAAACAAGCTCTATACAAACAAAACGAAATAGAAAACAATACTGTACTGTGAAACCAATCAAGTCACGTTTTTTAATGTAAAAATAAAAAAAATTGTGGCTAGCAATTCAAGGCAATCTTTTGCATTTTCGGTGTCTGGCATGTTGGGTGGTGGAATTTAATTACAAGTGTCCGTTTATTACAGGTTGGTAACAATAGAAATGACACTGTCAGGTACTTTTTAGGTGTCCGCGTACGCTTAATAGAGGTGTCCGCTTAATAAAGGTTTCATTTAAAGTAAATAAGGGAAATAAATTTGGGGACTTCGGCTACTGTCCGCTTAAAAGAGGGTGTCCGCTTCATACGGTGTCCGCTTAATACAGGTTTCACTGTATCTAGAAACGCATTCTAAGTGGCGCTATAAACTTTGTATCTGTTCGGTCATCCTAGGGGAACTTGAGTCTTTTCGAAATTACGAGGGATCCAGTATTATTTTCCTGAAAATATTAGATGCAATTTAACATATTACAAAGGAGAAAACTTTTCTGTTTCCTCTTTCCATCACATTTTTGAATCCGAAAATCTTAGGTTTCCTTTTTTCTATGAAAAATAGCCTAACCTGGAGAGTGAAATGTGAAAAATTAAACTTCAGAAGGTCGTAGGGAATTTATTAGTTGAGCTTAGAAAACTGTATATGAATGGAGCGGTCGTCTAGAAATTTTTAGCCGTCCTTAAATAGTAGAAAATTCTAGGCAATATTTGCTTCTCCGAACAGATATTTTACAGAAAAAAGTCGCTGGGTGCCCCTGTAATATGCCTTTAATCAATAATTTTCAGAAGCAGCAAACACTATTAAGATGTCGATCACCCCACGTGATTTAAGTAGTGAACTGGAGGATGTCGTGGATAGAATGTTAAGACAACAACTTGAAGTGTACTTGAAATACAATAAAAGAAAAAAGCTTTCTACAGCCAGCGGACTGAGCGACTTCTTTAAGCATGTAGAAGATACTTACAACTTAAGTTTAACATCTGTGGGTGTGGGATCTTTGGTAATAAAAGGTCAGTGTCCTGACCTGCAAAGTCTGGAAAGTCTGTGGAATGATTATTGTTCTGGTGTCCTGAATGAAGCTGCAGAGAGGTTTTTGGTAACTGATGATATGAAGAAAGAAATAGGCTTAGTGACAATCAGATTAAAGACTATTATTGAGGAAGAAAGCTATTTGACTTGCAAGAAAGCTCTTATGGAAAAGTCAGGTGAGTTGGTTTAGCACAATTTCTTGGGCAATTATCGTTGGACAAGAAATTGAGATAATTCTCTGCTAGTGTTTTATAGCAATGTACTCACAAATATACATGCACATGCATTAATAAAGCGGTCATCTTAGAGACTTCAATCGAGATAATGGAACAATTCAATGTATGGAACCGTTGCCAATCAGGCTGACCTTTCCTTGTGACGTTTTGTGTTATGGTTTGTTGCCATATCCAAGTACTTAATACAATAGTAAATTTGTTTTACAACATTGTTAACTAGATTATACATTTTAAAAGTGAATTTTGCCAAACTGCCCGGCCAATGACATTTTGTGTAAAGGTTGGTTGCTTATGGCAGTGGTACTTGACAGCTAGAATAATCATTGTCGTAAGGTGTTTCACTGCGGGGTGGATCTTTAACATGAGAGTAACCTGAGATCAGGCTCTATTTTCGATTCGCTTTGAAAATTACATTCCGGCGGGCAAGGCGAAGCGAAAAGAGAGCCTGATACAAACCTTCTACGGAACGTCTGCCGCCCACTTTTTTGATTGATTGACATTTGCCGAATCAGCCAACCAAAATTACTTCCGTTGCTTGTTTTACTAGTATGCAAATTTTTCACGCGTGCGAAAAATGCAGACTGGCTGACTTAAAAAGTAGCTTTTATCTGTTAATTTTCTGTTGCCTTTATATTTTCCTCAGTAATTTTCCGCGATTTTCAGTACATAATCTTTAAAAACAAAAGCAAACAGCGAACGAGCGAGGACACCAGTTTTCCTGGTTTATATTTTACAAAAAGCGAAGGCAAACAATCAGTCTGTTACCTTAACCCACCAGCTTTTATAATAATGCCTACAAAAATTCCTTGAACAGCGATGCGATATTTTTCGTCTAATACTTCACAGTTGGCGATTGAGGTTTCTTTCGCAGTGAGCCTCCGCTTGCGTACCCTGTTCAGAGAAGTCACTCCCGGCTAAACTTTCAGATGAAGCCAGTTTTAAGATGGACTTCTCTCCGCCGACGACGGATTATTCACGAAGACAACCACGCGAGGAATAAGTGCTTTCAACTTCCGGCGTTTCCGACAGCCAATCAGTGCTTGATTTGTTTTCTTGCACTTCTTTCTCGTTCCTTTGTGCTGGTACGCTGTCTCCGAGAGGCAGATGTTGCTATTTTTTGCTGGAGGTTTAATTGGAGTAGACAAACATCTCTTTCAAAGGGTTTCTCTTCTTCCATGACTCTACCACTGAATTATATTTTCGTTCTACTACTCGCCAATGTCGATGTTATTCCAAAACAAAAACAACTAAGTACTGTCTAAAACACGAAGGAAAATCTCATCCATGTCATCCATGGCAAAACTAAAAGACAGCAGATCGTAGATGACGTGTGTTTTATGCAAAATGCGTGCAGCTCGTGCAAGGTGAAATTATGCTAATTTCAATCACCATCTTCCTTCTTTTTGATTTTGAAAAAAAAAATCATCTTATACGTCTATCTGTTTCTTCGAAACGTCAAAATTAGTTTCCCCTCAGTTTTAACTGTTTACCTTGTTTTGTTTTAAAGAGAAAAACGGAGAAAAAAATCTTACAACTAACCTCAATAACTTTTGTTTCGATGCGGTTGCCGGATTTGCGACGCATTGCGCGAATCGCCATGGCGCGTTGCACCCGAGAAGCAAAGTTTGAAGCAGTACAACGCCACTATATCAAAATATATCAATCTAATTTTTTGTTATGTTATATAAAATTTATCCCCCTTTAACATATGTAAAAATTGAGGTTAAGAAGTGTTAGTGTTAGCTTTTGCAAACGAAACGGCGAAAGACGATTAGGTGATATTTATTGGAAGGAGAAGGTATTCAACACTTTCAAATTAAACTTAAATTTTGGCATTATACGACCAACAAGTTTGACTTATAGGCATACAGACACAAACATATGAAACTGTTTGTTGATATTGTTAAGAAACGAATTTATCTATTTAACACTGAAGCCTGAAATTACAGAAAGAAAATAGGATTTCCGGTTTGCAAAAAGGAAAATTTCGCCGGTCTTCAAGCGCACCGGAAGCGCGGAAAGAGCGCTCGCGCCAGTCCTACTCCGCATCACACATTAATGAAGAGCGGAGCGCTCGTTTCACCGCCCAACCTTTATCCGCCCTGCGTGAGAGAGTTTGTATCAGGCCCAATTTTAGCGGTACCCGTTAGAGAGAATAGGGACCTTAAGATCCGAGGACGGCGACGGCAGAGAAAACGTCGCTAAAAAGTGATTTCGCGTCCTTTCAATCTTCATCACGATTAGTCCAAGTCACTACTTTTGTCAAATGTAGGCGAACCCTCCTAAAGTTGAATTCCTAAGAACCATATCCAAGTTCAGAAAGAGAGAGGAAATTTCGTCGTCGCTTGTGTACTTCCTCTGCACATCGTGAAATTAGGCATTTTCACGTCGTAGTCGTGCAGTGACGGCAAAGAAATGTACAAAAAAGCGTGATGCACGTGCAAAATTGTTGTTTTGCTAATTAAACCTATTGCTGTTATGGCGTTCCCGTTGCCGTCGCCGTCGTCCGATCTTAAGGTCCCTATTGTATGAGAACCGCTAAAATTGGGCCTGATCTCAGGTTAACATGACAGCAATAGAGAATCTTCTGAGCTTCAAATTACTTCCCTGAAACAGTTTGCACTAAAAGAAGAGATAAATTAATGATAATGCATATAATATTTTAATTGAAATAACATTTAGCATGTTATAAAAAAAGATGTTGTAAGGTTTAGTTCAGCAAGTAAACTATATTATGACCGCAAGAGAGGTGGCTGTTAGTTGAGGTTCACGTTCATGTGCAGTAATGCAGTAATTGTACCTGGCTGTGAGTATTTTCTGTTATAGTGCATTCACAAAAGATGAATTCAAGGCGTATTTTCGTTATTTTATTCTGTGTTAGCAATCAGCCGTAACGTGTCACCTTCCACTGAATCAGATCAAGAAGCAGCTTCACCTCTAATTGACACTAACCCAGATGATTCTAAGGTAGGTGCTTGGTACTTGGGACTAAAAATGAAAACAAGTCAAGACTAGAAAGAAGAAGAAATCGAGTCGTTGTAGGAGTGCAATCGAACAATTCTGCAATAATAGCTCGGAAAAAAGTATGACAGTTTTCAAACCCAGTTCCGCCCATTAGACAACGTCGAAAAGAAAGACTGGTTTGGTTTTATTTTATTAGCTGGAATTATATGGAAATATTATAATAGCATGATTGAACTAACAAACTGTGCAAACTGTGTGACTGTATATCTCATGCAGACTGGCTTTTCACAATAATACTCGTAACTTGAATGTCTGAAGACCTCTTTAGTTTTGTAACTAGTACCTTATGTAAAGGCTGTTTTCTTAAGAAGGAATAACTTATAACACTAGCTAACACTTTTAGAATCACGTCGTCGGAGTTAAAGACTGTTTCATTAAGTAGATTCGTACGTGACAACCTCGTGAATAATGATGATGTAACCATCTACAACAATTGACCACTCCAGAAAATACCATGACATACCATAATACTCTTTGCTAATCACTCATTTTGTATAACCATTGTCTTCAGTTCCTCTTGGGAGTTAAAATGACCCCAAGAGAAACTGAAGACAATGCTTATGCAAAATTTTGGAGTGACAAACCAAGAGTATTATGGTATGTTATGGTATTTTCTGGAGTGGTCAATTATGAAAATCGTGACATTTCTTAGCAATTCGGTATTCGATGAGCTCCGTTATCTTAAGAAACCATGAAGAAACCTTGAAACCTTCGAGTCTTCCCTCTAACTGAAGCAAAGTTTGGTGAGTTGATACTCAAAGTTCTGGAACAATTTATTTATTTTGCAACAGACGTCTGAAAGAGAGACAAAAAACTGAATCTATAGTATGAGGAGCGACTCAGCTGTGCGCAGCGGTTCGCGTTTTCATTAATGAACAGCAATACCCAATTTCGCGCAAAAAAATAGTCTTAATGTGGGACTAAAACAGTGGATTGTTGATACGGTTAGACTGAAGCAATCAAAATAGCTCGTGCACGTTAAACGTACCTATGTTTTGAAGGAAACTGGTCGGCAATTTTTCGTTGCATCTTCGTAGAAATTTCCAGCATTAAGCCAGCGTTAGCTAAGTGATGTTTCTTAGACCAAGGTTTTTGAATACACTAAGAAACAATGTTATGGGCAGTCAAAAGTGTGTCGTTTGCCTTGTAATTTCAGAGTAGAAGTGATTTCATAGAACTTCATTGTAGATCTGGTTGTAAATGTATATTTTTCCTTTTTTAATCATCCTAGGACAAGACGCAGGTCCTGACCCATATGGAGAGAGCTCAGAAAGCGAAAGTAAGTTCACTGCGATAAAAAGAATACTGGGTGTGCACGCTTTGTGTACAGTATGTTGCCCAGTATCCGGACGGTACCAGTATCCGGACACCTGAAACAAAAACTCAATTTTTGAGGCACCCTTTTCAGTTCTCGGTAAACGAAGTATTTCGAATGAAAGCTGAACATTTCAGCTTTAAGATGAAAGTTTTAGCGATTTGAAAGCTTGCGAAACAGTCGCAGAAGACGCCGTTCTGTTCAGGTGAGTAAACCTTTCATGGCTAATATTTACGCTGTTTACGGCGCAGTAAAATTAGTGCTGCTCAGAAAAGGGAGGGTAATGTGTGATATTTTCAAACAAACTGTTTTATTTTTCAAGTGAAGATACTTAAGGAAGTCAGGTTTTCAGAAAGTTTATTAATTCTTCTTGAAATTCGATTTGTTTGGAATAACGGAGGCCAGAACCATTCACTAAGTATTGATGTCAGGTGCCCAGTATCCGGACAGTTTTTCATTTGCTGCACAGAATCGATGAATTAGCTGTGTACATTATCCGGTTAAGATTTATTTCATATCAGTAACTATAATTAAAGCTTAGGATATATGATATAGTCGTAAAATGTAATTCTACTCAACTCCGTATGGAAATTTTCTTCACTCATTCAGAGGCGACTTGATTTCGTGTGCACCGCTTGTTTCGCGTGACTGCATTTTCTATATATAATCGAGAGCGTCTGAGTTGAACCTGGAATTCTCATACTTTCCCCAGTTGTGACTGCTAGAATGGGGTTGCAACGGTCTGAAAAATGTCACAAAGGGATTGAGAGATGTGAAAGAAGGAGGAATTAGTGCTAGAAAAGCAGTCTTATTGTTGGGATTGATCATGAAGAAATCAACACTGCAGGTCAGACTAAAAGGGAGAGTGACCTTTGACCGTCGGATTGAGGTCCCTTCCCCAAGCTTTTTTTTTTCAATAAAAAATGAAGAAAAAAAGTCGTTTGCAGATTGGCTAATTGAGCTTGCAAACCGCGGCTTCGGCATGTCCACGGATGCCTTCCTTAAACCAGTGAAAAAGTTCCTAGACAAGGAAGTGAGAATTATACCATTTTTTTTAAACAAGCGCTCGCGTTCCCCACCATACTCCAGTCATTTGTTATGTTTTATTTCACGATGCTGGGTTATTTTTTTGGAATCGATTGCCAGTCTACTTTGCAAGTGCAAGAGAAGCTTATAAGTCGCTTGCCTGTCGAAATTTATGTACAATTACTTTGTTACTGTTGTGTCCTGATACTGGGCCAACTGTCCGGATACTGGGCAACGTAGGGGCTCTGCAAAAATATTAATTTCGCGATGGAAACAAAGGCAAAAAAGTTAAACTGTCTTTCGTCATATTAAGGACTAAATAGATTTTCTCTGGGCAAATTTAAGAGCTCTTGCGATTAACAAAGGGAAGTTATTGCAATCTTAAACTGAAGTGTCCGGATACTGGGCAACATACTGTATTTAAACAAAGTACAATATGTGCAATTGTGAAAAGCATCATTTGGTGGGAGTATTAATCAATTTTTTTTCCTCTCTAATAAAAGGATATTAATTTTTTGAAACAGGTATCGAGAGGCCCTCTACACAAGACTGCTGCCAGTGGACAATACGAGGTGGTTAAAAGGCTTGTTGAAAGTGGTGAAGATGTGAACCAAAGAGATCAGGTTTAAGTCTTCCCCAGTCTATGTAAATCTAATGCTTACGGATTCTTACATTCTTTTCTTGCTTTAGTAGATTATGGGCAGAAGCGTTGCGTTCATGAACCAACACACCATTCTAATCGCCCGTAGTGATAAGGGTGATTGACAGATAGCATATTATTGTTGCTGAAAATATCTATAAGTCGTATCTTTTCATCAGTGGAATGCCTAAGCTATGTTCACGAAGCTACGTAGCTTTTCGTGGTGCCATGGAAACCTGTCTGGTATAGTGTGAACAGCAACGGCCCGAGGCTGCGCAAGTCCTTTACACAGTCGAACATCATGCTTGCGTGGTTGGCCCAGAGGGTTTTGTGCGGTGTTCTTATCAGACCACGGCATTGCGGCATTGCGGCACTTTTTCGGGAAAAGCCGCACTACAATTAGCACAAGGGGTCCTAAGGGCACAAAGAAGGAAAAAAACTTTTAAAATATACATTTCCTTATCATATAGGCCAAAATTTAATTGGTTATGGCGCCATTACATTAACTCAGAGCTGTCAAACGTTGAGTTAACCGTATATAAAATTAGATATTTATTATCTAAGAAAGTACGAGGCATTTACTCTAACTCAGAACTGTACGTTTTAAAACGTTAACTGCATCTGAAAATTGTGAACCCCTTTTCTCACTCATGACCCACTTTTAGGTTCTCTGTGGGTCCTGTGGACCCCAGTGTGGAAAATCCTGGTAAGAGCAATGTTGTTGCACTAAATTCCTTTTCTTACTCCTGAAAATTTACTTCCGTCTCAGTGGGTTCCAGTCCTCGCTCATACTTATTATTTCCGCGCCGGTCCCAATAGCTCACTTCGGAAAAGAGTGATAGCCTGGGACTCATACTAAGCGCGCGTATTTATGGGATTGTTTGGGGGGACAAGTCGACCAGCCACCTTGAATTATGACGAGACATGCAAGTTGAGGTAGGCCTTTGTGCACAAATGACTTCAGGAACTTCCCAGTTCTGGCATTTTATAGAATACCAAAGACAAGACGTATCCAGCGAGAATAAAAAAAATTGAAGTTGAACTCCGAGAGCACACGGATTTGCATTCTTCAGGTTTTTCTCGAAGTAAAATCGCCCCAGGCACATCTCCCTTTAGTTTCACATTTTCATGTTTTTTTTCTTTTAATTCCGCCTTCCGTTTTGCTATTTTGAGCTGTTTGAACTCCGCTGAAACATTCCACTTCGCTTGCCGCCATGTTTTTTTACATTCAGGTCCTCCCAAATAATCCCATAAATGCGCTCGCGCCTAGTTTGGGTCCCAGGCTATCACTCGTTTCCGAAGTGAGCTACAGGTGTTCTCATTGCACCAAAGTATGACACAAAACCTATCCGGTATGTGACGCTCCACCTTCGAGCCATAACCGTTCTTATGCGGGAACGGAAGCCTTATCCGGTATGGTTTTCTTGGCGGCGTAAAAGCTATGCGATATAGTATGAACAAAGCCATAGACAGATAACAGGACAGGAGAAATCACAAAATTCCGTTTTCGCATCATTTTCCAGAATTTTGAACGGCTTTATCATTAAAAATCCAGTACTTGCTGATAGTTTCAGCATAGACTCGGATTAGCTTTCAATATTTGTGTATCTTGAAAAGGCACAAAAAAGTTTCTCTGGTAGGGCAGTTCTTCTTGCACTCAAATATACCATAGTAGACCCTAGTAAACCGTTTGCCACTGCAGTCCAGTTTTAAAGTCCAGTTATTTTATTTGTCTGTTTTGTGTTTGTTTGTTTTTACCACAGGAGCCTGAAAAATGTTCATTGGTATCTGCTTTTTCTTAATAAAGAATCAGTGGTTTGAATGCACCAATTTTCAATAGAAAGAGTCGTATGGGGTCCGAATTATCCTTTTTTTGCGGTTCAATCTTATCAACGTCTGGTGAAATACATTAAATCGATGTCCTAAACTCATAAAAAAAGCGGCGAATTCTCATTATCTTCTCCTTTTTTGCGTTTGTAATACAATAGAAACAATAGGCTGGTGGTGGATGAGGAGGGAGAACAATAGAATTGTGGTGGTCGTGGTGGTGGTGGATAATCACGTGTGTGCACTGAGCTGTGCAGACGTGTTTTGTGTGCTCCGATCTTAATTCAAGAATTCTTCTTTTATCCTGAACCTACCTATTCTGTAAGCCATTCATTATGACGGGTAACGGCAAGTTATGAAAGAAAAATCAAGCTTTGCGTAATGAAATTGAAGAATTAAAGAACAAACTACAGAAAGTTTTATTTATTTTTAGTGGCAATCTGCAAGGCTTTCTAATAGTTTGAGGTTTTTGTTTTTATTAGCTATTTGTGTTATTCATGTACTTGTCTTGCCCTGTTTTCGTCTGTCCACACGTACAGGCGAAAACAGCGTTTTCAAAAAGCTCCGTTTTCATTGATCGTTTTCATCGGATACGTGTGGACGGAAGCCGTATCCGTAAAGTCAAAGTTGCGTTTTCAAATGAAAACGGATTCGTGTGGACAGCGCCTAAGTTGTCTGCAATGGACAGTGGCAGTGGCAGAAAATAGAAGTGCATAATCAATTAACGTTAGAGCTCAGTGATTTTAGGTCACAGGCGAGTTAGCGCTTATTCCTCCGACAATATGAATCAGCCGATGAGCCACTTCCACATTTCCCATAATTCACCTTAATTGCCCCCCAAATTGTTGTTGTTATTATTATTATTGCTAAGCATTGTTTTCAAGTTCTCTTTTGGAGGGCTGTAATACCCAGGAGAAATGAAAAACAAAGGCTATGCAATTTTTTTTTTTTTTTTGGACAGGGGGGAATAAGCTGAATTATGGGAAAAGTGGAAGTAGCGTATGAATACTTTTTTAGTTGTAAGTCGATCAATCAAAACCAAGACATTCATCGACCTGAAAATTACTAGAAAATCTGTTAAACCGGTGAAATAAAACTAGAAGATGACAAACGGTCTACATCGGACTTAATCAGTACATGACAAGTTCGATGTTTGAACTGGGCCTTAGAAATATACAAAGGGTAAGATAATGAGAATCCACTGCATAAAGACAAATGGCTATGACGTCATCGGCGGGAATGTATTCCATCGCATGTTAATAAGATTCCATCCAAAAATAGGATAATTCGGTGATGCGCCCTATGCTACTGGAAAGTGGCCTGCGACGTGGAATTTGGACTAAAGTTTAGTTTTATTCTTTGATTGCTCCTTGTAAACTGAAGAAGATAAGGTAGAGATGCTATTGCTTTGGTCTAAACTAGACCTTTAAAAATTAATCCAATAGCAGACTCTAAGTTTATTTCATAAAAGGCCATCATTAGTATGGCAGTGGATGGCTTTTTTTCGATCTTATTTAACCGCGTTATTTTTTTTTTTTGTTTTCCGTAGTTTTCTTTGACTCCTCTTCATCTTGCCTCTTGGTATGGACACGAATCTGTTGTCAGACTGTTGTTGAAATACGGAGCGAACGTCAACACGAAAGACAAGGTGAGTAATGGAGGTTGGGGCAAGGGAAGTTCCTGTTTTTTTTATTCACACATAAATCTCTCTAGAATGACCAATTACGTTGACTTGGAAACCGTGTTGACGTATTCAACTTTTTTACTTTAAAGTGCTGAATAGTATAAGGTACACCTGTTGGGCCGTTTTTATACGGTGGAATCTCATTAACGAGCGGTGGAATGCTATACCATCGATTACATCATAGCCTTTGAAGTGGTTTAACCGGTTTGATAGGTTTTCCAGTTATTTTTAGTGATGATGTGGAACTTTATTTTAAGTTTTTTTACATCATGTCCTTATTTGGTCGCTTAAAACAAACTGTCCCGTTCGTGCGCTTTATGCCGGTTTCACTGTATTAAGCGGGCGAATGGCAGAGCTTATTTAAATTATTTTAAAAATCCCGTAAGAAACCGTGGCATGTAACACGATTAACTCTGCTTGTGTTATTTTTAGTTTCAACGAACACCTCTGCAAAAAGCTGAACGTCAAAACCACCACGCCATAGCGCAGTTGCTGCTGAAGAATGATGCCAGTCCAAGTCTTCATCAACCAGTAAGATATTAGATTATCTGTGCTTCTTGCCAAGCGTTGTCTTTCAGATGAAATTTGCTTACATTTTTTGTATTCTATGCCGATAATGTTGAACATTATAGTACGACCTTTACATTGTCGTATGAGCTTTCATCCAAGCCTACATCGCGGAGACATTATGTTTGTCCTTCTCTACACGAACATCATTTTTATTCCCTTGGTTCTGACGCCCACCCGGAGGTCACAGTGCAGTAAATCCTATATTAAACGGACGACAAATTAAGCGGATGAGTGGATCAGTTTGTCTCAAAGGTTTCTTACCATATTTACTGTGAAATTACTCAAAACGAGCGATTGAAAGGTCGAGTGTCTGTCCGCCTAATAAAGGTATCATGGTAGATTATATTTATTGGTTAGCTGGCGTTGCGTCTTACACACATGCGCTCCCTGAATGGTTTTTGGACACACTGTGGACTGGGGTTTAATGTCCTGCAATCGCATGAAAGGAAGAAAACTACATTATTGTTTGGGAAGTGCATCTCAACTTTAACGATCAAACTTACAGGAAAATCTGTACTTCCACCTGTGTATAAAGGTTACTACAGTTACATTCCTTCCACCCATCAACCCATCCACCTCCAGTGGATTTTTGTTGTTGTTGTTGTGTAGGATTTTCCAAAGATTAAATATTTATTAGATAGCTTCTGATGAGCTTTTCAATGTAAGCTGAATAATATGGTGTCTGGTGTTGTTGGGACCCAGTGGTTTCGTTCAAAATAGTTCCCCATTAATAGCCGCCATAAAAACAGAAACAACAGAAAATTAGCGGATCGAAGACGTTTTTGTCCTCAACGACTTTGGTTTGGAATTCAAGGCCTGTCCTAGTTACCTGCAGGAGACAACAAAAAAGTCGACATTGGTTGGGAGGGTGGAGAAGGGATCAACAAAGTTTTGCTTTCAAACCTTTTCCCCTGTCTGACAGCTTCAAAGTTGTCACACCAATTTTGTTGTCCGCTTAAGCCATTTTCATACTTTTGGTCATACATCATTATCATTACTGTCAAACTCAGAAAAGCACAAGCGTTAGAAATGTTTGGGAAATGTTCATTGTCTTATGTTAAATCCCATTGGGGATAAGGAAAAGTTAGCGGGCAGAAAACCGCAAAATAAATACCGTTGCTGTCTGCTTGCAGCTTGCTTTTCCCACACGTCTTTGGCTCAGGTCTTCCCCCGACACATAACATTCCACAAATCTTCTTATTGTTAATAGTTTTCTAATGATAATAATAGGAGATTAAAATTTGTGTAACGTGCAGGTTTCGTCATAAATATTATCACAGTTGCGATTTGTGAATTTGAACATAGTCAGAATTATTAACAAAATGGTGCGAAAAATATCACATTTCTGTTTGTAATTAGCCTCCCCTAATGTTACCAATGACGCCATATATTTTAACCAAAGCGACCAACCACCATCACATGTTGTGTAAAATGTGTCCATTTGCAATAAGAACTATCCAGTGAAATCCTGCTAATCTCTTATCTGCAATAAGAATAGTTAAGAAGTAGTGGCAAATGAATTTTCTTTTTATTATTTTCGCTCAAAACATGGTCATTTTCATCATAGGTCTGTCTAAAGAAACTCTCGAGAAAAGCTTTCTTGAAAGTGGATGAACAATCTGGATTTAATCTGCTCCAGGCGGCTGTCTTTGAAGGAAAATACAACATTGTTTTAAAAGCAAGTGGCCTTTTTGACAACTTTGTAGAAGAGATGGCACTTACAAAAACGGGAAAAAACGCTAAAGAATTTATAGGAAAAACGGCTGTTGACTTCCTGTCTCTCAGAAAGAGAAAAACCCCATTTCATAATGATATCAAAAACATTTATGAAAAGTTGGCTGAGGACAACAGCAGACTGACTGTGCTGCAGTGGGATACATGCAATGATGATGTCGAACAGGCAGTTGAACGTGTATTAAATGACGGTGTAGATATCAATGCCCCAGGATCAGACAATGATTGCACAGCTTTGCTGCAAGCGAGTCGTTCGTCCTCAAGTCAGTTTATTGAGACCCTTATTGATCTTGGGGCCGACGTTAATTCCCAAAGGGGAGAATGCAAAGAAACGCCACTAATGTTAGCAGCTGACTGGAGCAACTACATGGCAGCAAAGTTAATTCTAAGGCATGGGGCTGATGTAAATGTCCATATTAGTAATGGGTTCACGCCACTACACGTTTCAGTCAATAACGGTCACGAAAACCTCGTCAGATTGTTACTTAAACACAACGCAAAGGTTAATATTCAAGATACTTATGGAAAAACACCCCTTCACCAATCATTCTTAAAAGGTAACGAAACCCTCTGTAGATTGTTACTTGAACACAAAGCGGATGTAAATATTCAAGACAATCATGGAGACACGCCCTTACGATGGTGTGCCTTAACGGGTAACGAAACCCTCTGTAGATTGATACTTGAACACAAAGCAAATGTAAATATTCAAGATAAAGGTGGATATACACCCTTGCACTGGAGCGCCTTAAAGGGTAACGAAAACCTCTGTAGATTGTTACTTGAACACAAAGCAGATGTTAATATTGAAGATAAAGATGGATATACACCATTTCACTGGTGTGCTAGAGAGGGTAACGAAAACCTCTGTAGATTGTTACTCGAACACAACGCGGATGTAAATACTAAAGAGGAAGACGGATACATACCCTTGCACTGGTGTGCCAGAAAGGGTAACGAAAGCCTCTGTAGATTGTTACTTGAACACAAAGCGGATGTAAATATTCAAGATAAAGATGGATATACACCATTTCACTGGTGTGCTAGAGAGGGTAACGAAAACCTCTGTAGATTGTTACTCGAACACAACGCGGATGTAAATACTAAAGAGGAAGATGGATACACACCCTTGCACTGGTGTGCCAGAAAGGGTAATAAAAGCCTCTGTAGATTGTTACTCGAACACAAAGCGGTTGTAAATATTCAAGGTAAAGATGGATATACACCCTTGCACTGGTGTGCCAGAGATGGTAACGAAAGCCTCTGTAGATTGTTACTCGAACACAAAGCAGATGTAAATGTTCAAGGTACAGATGGATATACACCCTTGCTCTGGTGTGCCAGAGATGGTAACGAAAGCCTCTGTAGATTGTTACTCGAACACAAAGCGGATGTAAATATTCAAGGTAAATATGGATATACACCCTTGCACTGGTGTGCCAGAGATGGTAACGAAAGCCTCTGTAGATTGTTACTCGAACACAAAGCAGATGTAAATGTTCAAGGTAAAGATGGATATACACCCTTGCTCTGGTGTGCCAGAGATGGTAACGAAAGCCTCTGTAGATTGTTACTCGAACACAACGCGGATGTAAATACTAAAGAGGAAGATGGATACACACCCTTGCACTGGTGTGCCAGAAAGGGTAATAAAAGCCTCTGTAGATTGTTCCTCGAACACAACGCGGATGTAAATACTCAAGATGAAAATGGATATACACCCTTGCACTGGTGTGCCAGCAAGGGTAACGAAAACCTCTGGAGATTGCTACTTGAACACCAAGCGGATGTAAATATTGAAGATGAAGATGGATGTACACCCTTGCACTGGTGTGTCAGAAAGGGTGACGAAAACCTCTGTAGATTGTTACTTGTACATAACGCAGATGTAAATACTCAAGATGAATATGGATATACATCGTTGCACTGGAGTGCAAAAAAGGGTGACGAAAACCTCTGTAAATTGTTACTTGAACACAACGCGGATTTAAATATTTATGATTATTATGGAAAAACACCCTTGGACTGGTGTGCCTCAATGGGGAACGAGAACCTCTATAGATTGTTACTGGAACACAACGGGGATGTAAATATTTAAGGTAAAGATGTGCCTTTCAGCTTTGAACAGCAATTGCAGTAAAATAATCGATCTCCTGGTGAAAGTATGCGTTGCAAAATATCAATATCTGTGATGCACAACGCACGCCTCCTCTTTACCTGGCAGTTAAATGTGGTAATGCACCAGCTGTGAAAAAGCTTTTTTATCTGGGAGCTGCTGTTAGTGTGGTAAAAGCAGATAAAAACGATGCCGTTAGACTGGAACGTTTAAAGAATGAACCGGAGAGGATGGAGGAATATATTGAGTTTGTTTTTCCAGAAGCTGATGTTAGTGTGGTAAAAGCCGTTAAATACGATGCCATCAGACTGGAACGTTAAAAGAATGAACCGGAGAGGATGGAGGAATATATTGAATTTGTTTTTCCAGAAGCTGATGTTAGTGTGGTAAAAGCCGTTAAATACGATGCCATCAGACTGGAACGTTTAAAGAATGAACCGGAGAGGATGGAGGAATATATTGAATTTGTTTTTCCAGAAGCTGATGTTAGTGTGGTAAAAGCCGTTAAATACGATGCCATCAGACTGGAACGTTTAAAAAATGAACCGGAGAGGATGGAGGAATATCTAAACTTTAAAAAGAGCTCTACGCAAAAGCCTTTGCAGAACATCTCAAATCAAAGAAAATACTGAGGAAAACCCCTTCGTATACAACAAAGGAAATTGCGCACGAACCAGAAACTGAATAAGTAAAGACACTTAACAATTATTCCTCGAGCCCGAAAGGGCTCTGATCGAGTCAAGCTATAGAGTACCGAAGTGTGACGTCATAGAAAATGAAATTTGTGAAATTATGGGATTTGTTAAGCTATTCTGAAAGAACAACGTCCAAGACGCCTACTCGCCAAAAATTAGCAATTTGGGGCAAATTGTCTCTGAGATATTAGCCCAGATATGGTCCCATGACTCCATACAAATCCTTCTAAATCTTACCTGGTTCCTAATCTTATGAACCAAGCCAAATTTAGAAGGATTTGTATGGAATCGTCACAGCATAACTGGGCTAATATCTCAGAGACAATTTGGCCCGAATTGCTCATTTTTGGCGAGTAGGCGTCTTGGACGTTGTTCTTTCAGAATATCTTAACAAATCCCATAATTTCACAAATTTCATTTTTATGACGTCATCACTTCGGTACTCTATTGACTCAGAGGCCATGAGGGCGAGAGGAATAATTAGTCTCGCTTGCTTGAGGAAAGCGAGACTCTTAAAATGCAGTCCTTTTTTTTTTTTTTTTCGGTGGGACCTAGTTTGTAGGCCCCACGTTCCTAGCGAAGACAGTGGAAACTGGGGATAAGAATCGTGACGACTTTCATTGTGTGGAAATGACTCTCGTGATGAGAATGCAGTTTATTTCGGCGATGACTGAAATGACGCATGTAAGTTTGGCAATGACGTAATTTTCCTCGAATGGAGGCCCTTGATTTTCGTGTAATTGTGCACGACATGCAGGGAAATCGGGGAAATCCTCAGGATTTTGTGGCTTTTTAAGGCGTTACGTTTCTCAGAATATTGTCGCAATTACAGGAAATGTACGGTTAAATAGATTCACTTTGTTTTATGTATTTAAATGATAGATTTTCGCAGTTGTTACGATGTGAAGTCGTGTTGCACTTCATAAATACTTGAGATATGAAGTATCCACTGTCACGTAATTTTTACGAGCGCACGTGCGTAAAATTTGCGTTCGCCAATAAAATAAAGGCAATGTATGAAAGGCTGCACGTACAATTATGTAACCGTAAAAGTAGAAACTCGCTTAATTTGACGTTTAATCTCAATACTTTATGTCTTACCTCTATTTGATTTACGTGATTAAAATTTACGTGCGTTAACGTGCGGAGCCAAAAATGCGTTAGTGGAAATCCACCGTAACGTGTCACGGATGTGTTTATACGGGTAGCTTTGAACTTGACTAACCGCACACTTTACTTGCAGCAGTTAATAGAAATCCCATATCGAGCTTTTCCGGAACGGGTTGGTCCAAGAATTCTATTGCTTGAAAGCGTTAATTATTTTGGAACAACTGATCACTTCAGTGGTCGGAAAAAAAGAATAATCTTAATGAGCATAGACTACGAGTAGTCCCCCATTTTTCCTCAGGGATAGTAGAGCGAGCGAAACGCGAGGGCGCGTGAAAATCACCCCACGCGAGAAAAGGCGATTTTCACGCGTGCTCGCGTTTCGCTCGCTCTACTATCCCTGAGGAAAAATGGGGGACTACTCGTAGTCTATGATGAGCAAAACTTCAAGGTTTACTGGAAAATCAGGATCGAGGATCGAGAAATCAGGGATCAAGGATCGGTTAAAAGAACTTGAAAATAAAATAAATAAATAAATCGTGGATCAGTGATGATGTGGACCGCAGACTGTAGATAAATTTCACAGAACATAACCCCGTTCGCTGTACTGAACGTTAAATTCAAGTAAACTAATCCGAGTCTGTGTGAGTCAGTGATTGTTTTGACGAGAAAGTGAAATTTTCCGGGAAAATGAAACGCTTTGTCCTGGTGATACTATAATACAAGAAAAACTTTCAACAGTTTTTAATTTTTAAGTGTACATTTGCTTTCAGTACTCCTTATTTTTCTTGTAATTGTTGTATGCACGACCCCACCAGCAATGCTGATCTTTTTATCGTCCCATAAACTAAGGTTCTTACCTACCCACCTATCTATCTATCTATCTATCTATCTATCTATCTATCTATCTATCTATCTATCTATCTATCTATCTATCTGTCTGTCTGTCTGTCTGTCTGTCTGTCTGTCTGTCTATCTGTCTGTCTGTCTATCTGTCTGTCTGTCTGCCTGTCTGTCTGCCTACCTATCTATCTACAATGCATGCTGTGTACAACTCTAAACATTGTACTCTGAGACTGTACGGAGATATTTAAAGTAGATACTAAGCAGCTATGGAAAATGTCATTACTTTAATGCGATATTGATATCTTATAAAACGGACAACAAATTCAGCAGGAATACGCGCGAACTGAATTAACTGTGTGTTGTGTAAGGTTCTGTTCAACTTACACTTTTTTCCTGTGCTGAACATATACTGTACCGAGCCGTATCTTGGTCCGGTACAAAGAAGCTATGTATATTTATACTGACAGAGTCATGGGCCCCTGATACCGATAAAAATCATCGTTCAATTTTTTGAGTGTAGAATCCCTGAAAGAGTACTCCTCAATAGAGCAATATCAATATGTAGAAGGTTTTCAAAGGTTTCACACCGATTTGAGGCTAAGATGTGCAGCCTGTCTCTCCTTGCAATTTTTACTTTTTGAGTATATACATTATGACATACAGCACTCGTTTTGTATTCCAAACGAAAAAGTAGTATAACGGCACCGGGGCCATTGACATTTTAAAAAACTCATCTCCAAGCAAGCGAGACACACCGCTGCTAAGAGCGTTCTTGTTGTTTTAGTAAAATCCAACCAGTTGGTCAAAAGGGCCAAGCTGTTTGATCCATAAAGCTGTTTTACTTCTGGTGTGTTTCTTTAAAGAAACCCTTCAGCTTCCCCCTTTACGAACAAGTACTCGAAATAGTCCGCTCCCACAAAGTTCTAGGTTTGGTTATCCCGGACAATCTAAAATGGAATGAGCACATCTGTATGATTGTATTCAAGGCATCCAAGCGTCTGCACGTCTGTGCAAAATATCCTTGTTGTACGTAGAGGTAGCGTCAGTGCTGCTGATCTTTAGCTTGTTGCGATCTCCGTCGCTCTCGTACGTTCGTTCCTAGAGTATTGTGTTTAGTTTAGCATAATCCCCCCACCCCCCTCCCGCCTATGTCTAGTGAAATAGAGCGGGTCCAAATGCGTGCTTTAAGGATAGTATACCCTCGATCGTCATACGATGAAGCCTTACAAGGTGCTTAAATCGCTAGACTTGAGAACAGGCGCAGTGAGGTTTATAAGAGGACGTTTGATGAAATTACAAAAGTCGGGCGCTTGCTAAAACGTCTAACGCCGATTAGGACTATCGCCCATGACTATACTCTTGGACGTTTTTGAAAATATGTAAATCTGGGCGTTTTAGGAGAGGCTTCTTCCCTAGTGCTATCCTAAAGGAAAACGCAGCATCTTTTTATAGTTAATTTAATTCTTAACATTGTCTTCAGCTAATTATTTTAATGTATTTTGCCATGTAACTTTAAAAAAAAACATATCTCTGGTGTTATTTACAGTTCAATATCAAGCTATACCTCATTGGATAGGGAAAAGAATACCCTTTCGAAAAAAAAATATTTCGGTCATAGGAAACCCATAATATTCCGCCAAAAAAAATTTAAAAAGCATATTTTGCATAAAAATTTTTTAAAATTTTAAAGAATGTCATTTAGCTGGGAAACTTCTTTATTTTGGTTGATATGGTAGTCAGAAATTTTTTTCATCAATATCTAAGCAAAAAAAACCGAAAATCGTTCTAAAATATGGAGCGGCTAGAAATTTGCTACAAATTTTTTTCTGCACGCTGTCATGATTATGCTAATTAGATTATCATAATTAGCATAATCCTTTGGCGTCACCTCGTGACCCCATGTGGTCAAAAGTCCACAGGGGCTGGAACTAGGCAGGTGATTGGCTAAATCTATTAACTTCCTGTGTGCCAAATTTGGGAGCAATCGGAAGTAACACAATTTTTTGTGAAATTTCTTTAGTCACCGTTCCTCAAGCTCCGATTTCGGCGACTCGGAAGACAATGAGTTTTAGACCCTGTTTACATGGGGTGGGGGACCCCGGTGTAGTGGGGTAAGTTTCTTTTGTTTTGTGTCCCCCAGAGCGTGAAAACAAAAGAAACCAACCCCACTAGACCGGGGTCCCCCACTCCATGTAAACAGGCCTTTAATCTACGATCTTTACTAAAGGTTAATGTAATTTCAGTGACTATGACTGAACCATATTATATTGTAAACTCCAGTCCCAATAAGCATTGTACTTTTTCTGCTTATTGTAAACACATTGTAAGTCATCAGTTTAATTCGAGAATGTGGTGATTAAACATATTTATTACTATGACTATTATTATTACTAGTAATGGTTGACACTACATAGTATTCTTGCTGGTTGTGTAGCCCTTTGAAATATACCGATTCATAATGAAGATTTTCACACATATTCCATACAATAGGTGACATAAATACAAGAAACGCAAGGTACCATGCACAGTTTCAGCTCGATTTACACAGCTTTGATCAAAACATTCTCAGTTTCGAGAATAGTTTATTCTAAACCATAAGAAAAGATTTAATCAGTTGAATTTTTCGCTATTTCTCTTTCACTTTTTACATTCAGTTCATTTTATTTGCCGGAAAGTAAGCCTTAGAAACTGAAAGGACGTTTGATCGATTCATGCTCGCGCATTCTAGTCTCATTTGAAACTTCATAACGGAAGGACATCTGTGAGCAGGGAAAAAGTCAGCGCAGAATTTGATTGTTGGCGAATTTCTGAAATTGTCTATCAATCTGCTGGTGATAAGCTAGCTGTTCACTCGTCTTGCTTGTTTGGGGGTGAGTCTTATTCCGGTCAAAGAGAGAGAAAGAGTGTCTGGCAAGGTTTCCAATATAAATCAAAGATTTGTGAACTCGTGTCTGGCAAACTCTCCAAGTGTTTATATATACACAGTTAAACTCACCTTATAACCTCATCCGCGCTTAACGAGTGTCTTTTGGTCCATAACTTTCAAAACAACTGCTCCACAGAATGTCACCGCGCAACGCAAAAGAGTATCGAAGTATGACTGCACAATAAATGTCACAAAATCTACCTGATCGGTCCCTTCGGGATTTTCTGTCCGTTTACGTCATCCTAACCATTTCGTACTTGCGGGCGCAAACAATAGAAACGTCATTATTACCTACCGATTCCTCGCGGCCCTTGTTAGAGCAAATCGAGATTTTTTCTAGAATACCGACTGTATATTTGAACTGTAAGTACTGTCCTTAATATACGCGCGAGTTATTAGGGTGCCTCCTCGGGATTTCGCCTCTGGGCGAAATCCTTGCGGGGGCAATTACTGGGCTGCCTCAGGGCACGCCCAGTTATAAATCTTGTTCAGTGCGGTCGTCTCCGCAACATTCGGGCACTTACATGTGGGCATCGTTAATTGTTCAACCAGTTTGGTTTAACCCAAAAGGCGTTGCTTGTTTCGACAAATTTAAAGCATGTATTCCTATTTCAGCGCGATATTGCAGGTTGCCTTTTCATTGTGTAGTTCCAGAAAATATCCATATCCCTGCCCCCCCCCCCGACGGAGGGCGCTTTTGCTTTAGACCTCTCACTCCCCTGGAATTTCCATTCCAGGGGAACTTGTCATACCCCACCCCCCACCCCCTGGAATTTCCGTAATTTTTCAGCTTGGGTGGGTACCGTCTGGAAAGAAAATTTGTGCAAAAAAGTTGTTGCACTATATGTTTATGTAAAAGATAATTTTTTCTGCGATGAAATGAGCAAAAATGTTTTCATAATGAACTCAAGGACTTTCTTAGCTAATAATTAACCATAGTGGGCGATACCTTACGCTGCTGACTACATGAATAATGTCATCTGCAAAAGACCCAGTTACATTCAAACTAAACACCACGTGAACTTTCATTACTTCATTAGTTAGAACATGTTACAAGAAGGCTTAGAACGCGACCAATTTAGGGTGAAGCAAAGCGCTTAAGAGCATGGCAAGTCACTCACTAAGCAGAGTTTGGTGACTTTGCTTCCTATAGCTTACAGTTGCTCTCTAATTACAAAACCAACACACAAAAAACTAAAATATCATCAATGAATCAAGAAATATGTTTTATCTGTAACTGGAAATTAGAGATCGGGTCAGATTGACGAATTCACGCTACTTAACGACTTCTGAAGATCTTAAGAAAGCAGTCCGTTGCGGGTCGAAACGAATACTAGTTTCCCACGCAGACGTTTTTTAGAGTTGTGGGACAGGAACGCGTGACAAACCGCTAAGGTCTGCGTGGAGGGCTAAGGAATACTTACTAGTCTTTTTGTCTGAAATACAGCTGAAGGAGCCGCTACTGAAGCCAACAAAAAAGAAAAAAATGAATAAAATATTTTCTAAAAAAAATTCTTGCCCATTTGATGTCTACCATGTTCAGAAGTATCCCTTATAAAATTCACTTATTTTGATCCTTGCCTTGTTTTCATTTTCTTTGATACTTTGTCTTGGAATAACAAGAAAATTATTCTTGTTTTTAGAGTTTCATTTTGATTTTCCAGCCAATTCTTTTTTTTTTGTTTTTTTTTTTTTTTTGTGGTTGTTTTTTGTTGTTGTTGTTGTTGTTTTTTTTTTTTTTTTTCGAGCGGGTAGATTATATTTGCACTGAGAATTCTTTGTTCTGTATGTGGTTCCCGGAAAGGGGGAACTCCCTTATTTAGACTAGACGGGTATGGGCTCCTGAGCAGGGCATGGTTTTCAGGGTCTTAGACCGGAATCCTTTAAGACAATGTGAAGGTTGGATATGAGCTGTCTGCATTTATGGTACCAACAATTTTTTTTACCAAAAAATCCAATTCCTCGAAGTTAGTTTGAAAAACTGTTTAGTTCTGCATGCGAAACGAAACGTATCTGGGTCCTCAAATAAGGTATCTGGTATAAGACAAGAGACATGGAGGGAGGATGATCCTAGTTTTAGGAAGATCCTAGAAGGCGGATCATCCTCGCGCCATATGTTTTCTGTACTCAGTTTACACGCAAAAAGTTGTACTTGTCACTAGTGCTAGGATAATCCTAGTACCAGGAAGATCCTAGCAGCATGTAAACTACCTTCGCTAGGAAGATCCTAATACTAGGAACAAAGAGAACAAAAACGGGCGGCAGGTCGGTAAACGCGTTATCTTTGCTCTTCAATTCCTTCTCTTCTGTTAACCAAGCGGACCGAAATTTCTGAATGTAAACCCAACGAAAAGTTGTTTCGCCTTCTAGGATCTTCCTCCCTCCACGTAAGGAGCCCCTAAGCAGGGTCTTGGTTTGAAGGCCTCGGCGGCAAAATGTGACTCAATCTTTCCTTGAGTGAACTCCTCGCGTCGGGTATGGTCCGTTATGATTTTTTTTTTAGATTAGTGACTCCGTGAGTCTTAGGAGTGGAGCGCAATGCTCTGTAGTTCCTCCATTGGAATTAATACTTTTGTTTTAGCTTAACAGTCTATGCGACTATTCTGATGGTTGTTGAGACAACTTCCTCGGAACCCCCCCCCCCCAATCTCTTTCGGCCATGATAGGATAGGAAAGGATAGCTGCTTTATTATCAACAGAGCGTATACAGACACATGTGTTTACTACGATAACAAAGATTTTAGTGCAATAATTACAGAGGTGTCCTGGCCTAGAGTACTGCTGACCAACTACCTACTGAAGCTGTCTTGTGGGTAAGATCCATTTCATTTTGAAAACTTAAGGGTAATTTTCAATAGAAACTTTGGTGCTGCATTGGGGTGTGTGTATGTGTGTTGTGGTGGGGGAGGTACTGGGCAGGGGGAGGAAGTTGACCTGTCGCTGGCCTGTCATTCGCAAAATGCTAATGGCCAGACGTTTGAGAACCTCAATTGCAGTGACTGAGGATATGTTGAAACCTCAACTCAATGACCCTAAAGAGGTCCTCCCTAAGCTAAAAGAAAGAGGGATGGGGGATGGTGAGGTTGTAAGTGTTAGAGAAGGCAACAAGTGGAAATCTGCTGGGTCTGTTTCACAAGTTCTTCTCTCATCTAGACCTTACAAGGTCGAAACAGCGCGTGGCGGTGGGTACCGAAGAAACCATCGACATTCATTAAGAACTGAAGAGACTCAGATCCCGGAAATCACCCCTACACCGGACGTCTCGAATGATGAGGACCTGACAGACACCAAAGTTGAGCCATCCTCTGTTACAGTGGCCCACGAGAATCCTGGATCACCGCCAGCTGGAAAGTCTGTGGCTACTACCACGCGGTCTGATGGGACAGTTAGAGAAGCGCAGAGATTAAAGGACTATAATAATGATAATACCTTTATTTATTACCCTTGGCGATAAGAATTACGGTAATATTACAATAAAAATTCAAAACACTACATATTATATATACATATCAAATTAAGTTAAGTTTAGCACCTCTAGGAATAAACGAATGTTTGTGCCTAACAGTGCGTGATACAGGTATTCTGAGATGCGCTGGGTTAGTCTTACAAGATCTTAGATTATGGCCATGATCCACTGGCTTGTCTAAAAGACGTTTGCAAGGATGTGCTTCAGATTCTAGGATACGTTTAAATTCTTTCCTCGTCAAATTCTGACGCCTAGTTACAAGTGACTCGACAGTATCCCCAGGGAGACCAATGAAATTTACACATCTATTCTGCACTCTCCGTAGATCTTCTTCGAGGTAAATGGGCAGCCCCCACCCCCCCGCCCCCCCAGACAGGGGAGGCATATTCTAAAACAGGTCTAATCTTAGTGGTGTAAGTTGTAAGACCAATGTCCCTGGGGAGATGGGCTGTTCTACAGACCCTAAGAAAGTGGATCCGTTTAAGAGCAGACATTTTACAGCTTTTCCCTAAAGCATACTGTTTTCTGTTTGCAGAAAAGGACACACAATTAATTGCTGCTGTTGCAGCGTTATCTCGAAATTTTTATTGTTACAGTTTGTTTGTTAAATTCAGTATTAAATTTCAGGGTTTTTTTTTCTTAAAAAAAGGAAATGTAGCATCAGGTAAGCGGTTCTATTTAGCGCATTCCTACTTTTACAAAGTGTGTTGTTATGCATAGGCCATCTTTCGTGTGTATTTTGTCGTCTCGGAGAACACTTAACACACAGTTAGTTCGGTTTACAGACTTTAAGTGCGCGCATGGTGTATATTGATGTGGGTGGTGGAAATCTTGCTATTTTATACACTTAACCCAACACATTTTATTTGTAATTTTTTTTAAACTTCCTTCCGTCCTCTCCTTCCCTACTACGATTACTAGTAGATTCTTTCCTTAATTCCTTCCTCGTTTAGATTCCTTCCTTCCTTCTCCCAAAGCCTGTACAGAATAGTGTGTTGTCCTGATAAGGTACGCTAGTCTAATTGTTAGTTATACCACTGCCTTTATTTCCCCGGATGTAATTCTACACTATACCTGGTAGCTCTTTCGCTCACACCTATCAACGGTCATTTGTGCCACTCCGATCTTGAAATTAGATCGATCACATATCAGATATAGGTTTTTGTGCCACTCTTTGTGTCAGTGTGAACAGGCCGGAGTAGCTTTCCATGTCGACTTGATAAGCTAGTATCCGGTATAGCCGTGTAGACAACCTAAGACTGATGGTTTTAATCCAAACAAACATGTTATTACATGAATCAGTCACAATTCCCTCTCATGAATGGTGGCTGCGACGGATTTCACTTTGGCCGGTAATCCAAGATGTTGGCGAATTGATCCTCTACTATATAAATACTTGTTTTTTTTCAGTTTTGAGATTCATTAGAGAGCGATGTCATGTGTTTCAAGTTGGACAATATCTGTAACATCACGTGTTCTTGACACTTGATCAGGTGGTGTGCAAGTAGGAGCAACAATGGCTTGTACCTTAACAAGATTGTGCAGCCCAAGCAGTTTGACAAATGCCTCATAATACCTGCGGCTTCTTACACAGTATATGTATGGATTGATGGAAGAATTACAAACCGACAAAACTTGCAGTAAAGTAAAAATGGTGAAGTATGTGGTATTATGCACATAACTGGCAATGGCGCGAGGAACCACCAAGAGAGGAACCCAACACACAATCGCTACTCCTAAGATGACTGCGATGGTTTTTGCTGCTTTTCGCTCCCTGCGAAAGCCAGTTCTTTGTTCCCTAGTAGAGGTATTTTGTACGTGAATCACCGACTGTTCCAGCCTACTTGCAACCACAAAGATGTAAACATATATTAAAATTGTTCCAAGAAGAACCGCCACAAAATAACTTGACAAGTAAGTTGCCGGAGCGAGGTCTTCAGACCATATTCCTCCATAGGCTATTGAAAAGACCCAGATACAAATCAATGTTACCACAGCACGTGTTTTTGTCACCAGAAGTCCATATTTCAGAGGAAATCGAATGGACATTAGGCGTTCCACGGTTACTCCTAGCATGTTTGTTATCGAAGCAATCAGCGCGACATATCCAAGAAAGGCGCTTATAGATATCACAAACTTCATAACCGTGGAGTCATCTGACAAATGTGCAATCCTGTAAGCTTTTAAAGGTTGATACAACGCCGAAACGAGGAGGTCTGATATTGATAGGCTGAAAATGAACAAGTCTGGTATAGCTCTCAAGTTCTCGAACTTGATTATGGAGGAGACAACTAAAGTGTTTCCACTTGTTCCGAAAATACTACCAAGGCCCAGCACGATGCACAAAACGATCACAACTGGATAGTCAAGTGTTCGGTTCTCTGTCGGAGCAGTAGGCTTCATAGTAAGGTTAACTGAAGTCGAGTTAATAAAAAATGACGCATTTTCCATCGTCGGCGGCGATTATAACCAGTCACCCTTGGAAAAAAAAGAAAAAACTTGGAGTTCAGTGAGAGGTTTTATTATACGATTTCTTTGATCCGGAATATAACCTTAAGTAGTCAATAATGAAACAAATAGAAACCAGGAGAAGAGATAAGTAGAGTCAATAGAAAACAGTAGAGAGAAAGAGTAGGCAACGCTGCGAATCAGTACCTATGCTCTCCTTTCTATTGTTTTGATAGTTACGCTGGATAAGTTTGCGGTCAACTCTCTCTTAACGCCGAGACACCTGGAGTTGGTCCCTGCCTTTCTTTACTCCCTTTATTTGTTAACTGTCTACAAGACGGACATCTCTCCAAGACGGACGTCACTTATTGCCGGCAGTCTCAAAGGTCTCAATCTTAAAGAGAGTTGACTGTAGTTTGAAACTGTCGACTTTTCATCAGTTTCTTTCTTTATCAATTGCATCTCTGCTGTACAGTTGAAAAAAGTTAAGGGCAACGATTCCTTATTTTAGGTCGGTGGTTTCGAAATCGCCATCATGCGACTAACAAACTTTAGGCAAACGGTGCGCAAGGCCATTTGTTCATCAGTGCTTCGTTTTACGGGTGTTTCTTAAAGCTAGTTAAAACTACAGGGAGAAAAGTCGGAACAACGATCTGAGGTTACAGCTGGGAACAAACAAGGGGTCTCCCGCACTGAAGGACACACACAAAAATCTATACAAATCCGCTTTTAGATGGATACGTGGCTATCCTGTATGCAAAAATTAAAAGTTTTTGTTAAAACATAACTGAAGACGCTTACGTAAGATGTTGCTAGAAGAAATTTTGCTGCTATCTTGTCTTCTGTCTCCAACCAAAGTCATTTGAAATTAACGGAAAAACTATTAGCTACAGAAAATAATAAGATTTTGTTGTATTAAGTTCGTGAGGAAAAAGTGGACGATGACCGCTGATGACGCTGTTGAACGCAATGTGATGATAAACGCCTCCTCCCGATCGTAGGTTTAAAAGATAACAACGCTTTTCGTTTAAACTTTATAATGAGATTGAGACCCGCTTGAACACCCTTAAGCTCTTACCGAGTCACGTATTTTCCTGTTCCTTCTTCATTTGCAGAACAAGAGATATCATTATGATTGTTTACCATTCATAAAAATTGTCCGGAAAATCCGGCTGGAAAAGTCAATGGAACACGACGTTTTGGAGTCGTTCGAGTGGAACATTTCCGAGAGCAACGGATCATCCGAAAAGGTAGTCCTGTTTTTCCGGACTGAACGTTCCAAATAGAAATTTGTGTTCCATTTCTTCAAAGCCATCCTTGATAAATGGAAAATCATGGAACTGATTTGTTTCCGGGACGAAATCTACCTGAGTCCTGAATTTTGTTTACCGGCGCAAACCGTGAACCGACCGGTTTGCCCATGTAAGGTAACCGACTTGATGATTTTAAAACGGACCATTTACATTCTTAGTCTAGTTCGTCCTCACATTTTGAGCCGCTTCATCGGTTCGGGACGTTTCCCATATAAAGAAGCTTGTCTGGATGGAAAGACGCGCGGGGGGGTCTCCATTGAAAGAGCGAGTTTAGCATCGATAAGGTGTCATGATAGCGTCTATTTTACCATTTTTTTACACGGTGCATCGACAAAACATCCGAAACAAATAATTTACAAACGTACTTTAATTAATTTTACCTTTTCCTTTTCTCCTCGTCTGGCTACTTCATGTTTTGCGCGGGTACGATTTGGAACGGAAAGAAGGTCTGGAGCCCTGGTGGAACGTGTGTAAAAATTAAATGGCGGACCGTGCAATACAAAACACACGTTTTAAACTGATTCTATTTCGATCTTTCATCTCACTAATCATTTCCTTCAAATTAAAATTTCAATTTAAATAATAATAAGGATGACATTAGAATAAAAATCACTTAAGAAACAATTTTCACAAGATTCAGATGTCTGCGTGCCGCACTGTTCGACGGCCAATGACGCGAGATGGAACCTTACGTCGCACGATATATGCACATTTCCCTTTTAACTTGTAAAAATGGCAGCTTAGTTTTCACCTATTTATCAGCTGATTTTGTCATCACGTAGCTGTATTGAATATCACCCCTTCACAAAACAATCTAATCGATGAAGTTTTCTATTCTCTCAGTTTACTTTCGGAAAATTTCAAACAGATGCAAATGAAATTCAGCTTTGAATTTATACCCTTTAAATTAAATGTTAAACATTTAAAACAGGACTAACTGAGATGGAACATGGTAGTTAATGTTTAGCAGTATAATAGCAGTATAACCTAAATTATACATACAAAGGATTGCTTTTTAGCGTACTAAAAGCACAAATAATGTACTTGGAGAAGTCAGGGTCAAGTTTCAAATGGATTACGTTTCCGAGAACCATTAATGGAAGCACTCGTTAATGCTGTTAATATTTATATGTTCAACAAAAGTAAACAATATTGTCCTTATTGGGTTAGGAGGATTAAAATTCAGGCTATTTAATTTGATTATCAATTTATTGCTAAGTTAAGCTAGGGGACATGAATTTGATTTGTCAATGAACGGAATACACCCCTCTAATAAGAACTCTTGGGCGCTTCTTTCCCGGCGACCTGAAAATTGTATTATATATTTCCGTACTTCAACTGGGCAAATAGAGCATTTTCGATTTCATTGATGGTACTGTTTAACATTCATTTGTTTGCAATTTGAACCAATCTAAACTAATTGAAGTATTGCAAGACAGCGACCGGCGTCAGTTGGTCCAGCTGTATAATTATGGCTGAAACACCAATATAAAGGTTTTCCAATTGAAATCACGCAATCAAATGTAGACTTTCCAAGGGTACGTGCGGAGTACGCTCGGCGGAAGCTCTTGAAAATTACGTAAGTGCAAAAAGCTAGCAGGAAAATTTCATGATGTAATCACGTTCTCTTTTCTTAGCTGCCGCAAGCGATTTGATAATCATCATCATAATCATATTCAACATTGTCGTCGTCATCATGACGTCATCATCGTATCATCATCATCATCATCATCAGTCTTTGACCGAAAACAAGAGTAATTCCATATCGACATTGAGGTTTCTAGATTATAAGAGAGAAAAAGAAAAAAATCGAGACATATCAAGATCCATGACGTGATCTGAGAAGAGTATGGATTGTTAGACAAGTTATCTCCATAAAGCAGGCTATTCTTCTCTCCAGTTTTTCCCATTTCGCTGACTCTTGCAGAGCGCCTCGACATTGCCATAAATAAATGTCCGATTTACATAGCATCATATTTCGTATTTAACCATCAATTATATTGGAAGCTCAGTGGAGAATAATGGTATTGCAGGGCCCTTTTTTTTCTTCTCTCTTTTTTTTTCAGCAATACGTATAACAGATTATCGACCTGTTTTTATAAAAGGGGGTAGCACACTAACATAGGCCGGAGAATTCCTAGGAGACGGTACACAAAATGTTTTCATTTGACAAAGCACATTTTATTTGCCTCGTATATAAGGCGCATATTCAACATCTCTGTTTAATGCAATCGTAAGAGTCATTTAATTGCACGCATTCATAATTCGTGATGATAATAAAAGACTCAAGCGAAAGCGAGCTTCTTGCAATCAGCCTATCGGTTTTGATCACTTTGATGCGAGAATTGACCAACTTTGTGATTGTGAAGGTGGCCGATAACTTGAAGCAAGGATAAAGTAGGTGAATTGGAAGCAATCTTGGGAGACAGAAGAAGTAGAAAGGTTCCACACGTTTATAAGCACGGTTTAAACAGAACAACAGAATTTCAGGCATGCAGGGAAAAAACAATAAAGTATCGAGATTTCTCCGGGGATTTCTCTTACCTTAGTCGATCTTCTTGGAACAACAGCATTCAACAATATTCCACTATGTTCTTACTTGTAATACGCAAATGTTCGACTCATTCAAACTTTTTATCTAAATATAACCTACGCACACGTGTTGCAATATAGGAAATGTCTACTGTCGTATGAATATGACTAAAGAAGGCAATATAGCGGTTTGCAAATAACTGATACTCGTCTAGCTTAGTCCGTTGTACTTTCTTAGGCTAAGAGCTGGAACAGTGGTGTCTTTGCGATTCGCCTTCATCTGTGTAAGTCAATATTTATTGAACGAGGAGTCCTCGTGTGTATTTACTGATAATTGCAATAAAGCAACTTTAGTTAATTTTTTCACAAAATAATAAAGAGAATGACTAACCTCAGAGTGACGATGCTGTTCGCATGTCTCTTCTTAATTTTTTAGGACAAAAATGACACTCATATAGACTTCAGTATTATTTTAAAAATGTGCAAGGCAAGGACAGAAATATCTTTTCCTCTGTTTTGGCTTATTGTTGTACATTCTATTCTGAGGGTTTGTCATTCATAACTTTAATTTTCCTCTTGCCGGGAATTGAGCATTGTTTTGGTGTCCGTCTGTTTAAATACATTTTTCTCATCACCAGAGTTAAATTTCTTTATACCTTAAAAAGGATCTCCCCGACAGGCCAATTTTTCACCTAAACGTCTAAAACCCGCCAGAGAAGATATCCAAGTCTGTCCTACCACCATGAATTTCGAGAAATTGCCAGTTCGTCTGCCATAGAGTTTTTCTTAATATTTTCGACATAGCTGACCATAGGAAATTTGTGTGCATTAACTAAAAACAAAAGTAAATAAACAATGATAGATTGTGGTCAATCGGTAAGGCAATTTCGAATTAGAGCGACAACCTGAATTATGTCAATTTATGCTTTTCCCTTGGGCCTGCTTAAATAAGGCACGGTGCTGCCCATGATCTCCTGGAGCTAGTTTACTGGCCTCAATTTTTAAAAATCAAAAATTTTACAAACGAGACACGGAGAATGAAGTCCATGACCGGGCTAATGAGTTTTTTTCCTCGGCCTATGCCTACTGTAATCTATATATGAAGTATTACCCGGCCAAGTGAAAATAAGGGAAACCCAGAACCGTTGCAAAAAATTTTACTGATATCTCCGTGAGGTTATGGTCAT